CACCATAAAAATACAAGATAATATTTAAAAGCTTATTGTCATTAACGAATTTCACACTAATAAGTCTAAAATACAACCAAGCAGTCATAATATGCTCGATCGTCGATCGGTCTTCTGTCTTTCCTCTAAGCCTATCAGGTCTGATACCATAATATATATATTTTGGAGGCCCCTAATTTTTAGAGGTCTAGTGCGGTCGCACCGTCTGCACTGGCTCAGGGCCGGCCCTGACCGCTGCACACTCTCGAGCTCGTTTAGCTTGACTCGGCTTTGAATGCCAAATGAGTCAATCCCAAGTCTCTTTTTCAGCTCGTTTCTGAAACAAGCCGAGCCCGAGCTGGCTCGCAAGCCGTTTTATTTGGCTCGTGAGCCTAGACCATCATGCATTTATATGGATGATTTTATTTTATTAGTGGAGTTATTATTTGTCAATATGTAATTTATCATCTATATTTGATGAATTGAATATATAAAGTTATTTTAATTTTACATGTTGATGATTTGTTATTGTTTTTCTTAATGATTACAAATTATACAGCTTCAACGGAAGGCTCACCAGCCAGCTCGAGCTGGCTCGAGCCAGGAAACGAGCCGAGCCAAGCTCATGTTTTAGCTCGTTTCCCTAACCGAGCCGAGCCAAACCAAGCCTAACTTGTTATGAGCCATTGTAACTGGCTCGGCTCGGCTCGTTTCCACCCTACATAGTACCCACTACTAGTTGATCAGTAGCACAAGACTGGAGGCAAAAAAAGATATGCGCAAAGGCCGGAATAATTGAGCAAAGGCCAGAATATTTGGCTGGAGCTTGTTGAAGCAAATGCCAAAATATTTTATTCCATTATCTAGAAAAAGTTATGTGCTCTCGCTGACAAAGTGTTTGACAAAAGAGGTCGCAGTTCTGTAATTTAAAAAATCGCTCAGGCTGAATGGCTGTGGAGATGTACCAAACATAGGGCGCGTTTAGTTTACGTCAAAATTGAAAGTTTGATTGGAATTGAAATGATGTGATGGAAAAGTTGGAAGTTTGTGTGTGTAGGAAAGTTTTGAGATGTGATGGAAAAGTTGGAAGTAAGAAAAAGTGGGAACTAAAACAGGCCATACTCTGTTATTTTCTCCAAATAAACTTTTGGATAAAAGTGACACACTTTTCAAACTGTTAAATGGTGCATTTCATACGAAAACTTTCTATATGAAAGTTGTTCTAAAATATCAGATTAATCATTTTTCAAGTTTATAATGATTAAAACTCAATTAATTACACATTATTATTATCTCGTTTTATGTGAAACACTTAATATTTATCTTCGTCTTTTATCTCTAGGAGATTCAAACACCACCTATGCCTCTCCCACCATATCATCACTCTTCCGTGTATAATTAAAAAAAAATGTTCAGACTTCAGCTGGAGTTGACACACAATCACATGCATGCATATCCGATGAGACATCTTATTCCCTTACGGCCCTAGTACTATACATATGACAAAGACACACTCATGCATATGTCCTTCTCGAATTCTCGATGACCATGACCTGCAACGTCGCGACGAAGAAGGGCATGCACACAGATCAATCGACTGGACTTTTTACATTTTATTTATTTTCAAAAAAATATTTTACAAATATACATATGTAAAAACTTATTTCACATATCAACCCCTTTTTTCGGTGCTAAGGTTATTGTTGTCGAGGTCTAACGTCTCGACGCCAATGACGCTGGCGCTGACGCTCTGGTCCTTTTGCGGAATCTAAATCACTGTTACGAAGGGGAACGGCGTTAATGACATTAACGTTGATAATCTATTTACAAAAAATATTTTAAAAATAACTATAATATAAAAAAAGTCTTACAAATGGGTCCTCCGATACAACATATACTAGGGTTACTGACGCCGAGAAAAAGTCCATTCTCATAAAATAAATTTCTTCAAAGATCTATTTATAAAATAAGTTTTAAAAATAAATGAAAATCCAGCACAGATCGATCCAATCCAACAGAGTCGTCGTCGGCCGGCCTAGCCAGCTGCTGCTCAGGAGTACTCTCTCCGTCCTAATTTTAGATAAACCTAGGTTTTCATGCCTAACGTTTAACTGTTCGTCTCATATAAATTTTTTTTATAATTAGTATTTTTATTGTTGTTAGATGATAAAACATGATTAATACTTTAAGCATGATTTGTCTTTTTAATTTTTTTTATAATTTTTTTAAATAAAACGAACGGTTAAATGTTGGACACGAAAATCTATATTTATGTTTTTTTAGACGGATGGAGTACTCTCCTGGAGCTGGAAAAGGTCGGCAGCTAGCTTCTGAACTATGATCAGATCAGGCCACCCCCAACTTGCTCTAGCTTTTGTCTGCTGTTCCATCGATCACGACGTCAAGGCGTCAAACATATCCGAATATCACCAACGGCATTTGTGCCGATATGCCGGCATGTACGCCGCAGTATACACACTATACATACGCGACTCATGTCAAAACTGTAAAAGAAAACAAGGGAAAGTACGAGACAAGTCCAGTGATCCAAGATTTCTAAACTGTGCAACTCACATTTAACAAGAGGTAAACTACAAACTGATGAGTCAAAATGCTTGACCGATTGGCACGAAAACATCCGGGACCCACACCTAGGAAGCACTTAAATAGCATCTCTTCCATTTCTGAATAATTTATTAAGTTTCAGACAATCAGATCAATCTGATGGTTTGTGCACATGCAGGAGCGGATCCAGCATGGGGGCGGCGGGGTCTCGAGCCCCCACTACTGGCGTGAAGACTATAAGAGCCCCACGAAAACCCCATTAAATTTTTTTATCGTATGTAGATGGGAGGGGGACTATAAGTTCAGACCCCACTACTATTTCTTTCTGGATACCAAACACATCCATAATTCACATATGCAAAGGGGAGGCAATCATCAATTCGGCTGTGTTCTTCGCTCAGGTTCCTAACTCATCTTCCTCGTGTTCCGAACGTACGTTTTTTAAACTGCTAAACGGTATATTTTTTTTAAAGTTTTTATATGAAAGTTGCTTAAAAAATCATATTGATCCATTTTTTTAAAAAATAGCTAATACTTAATTAATCACACGATAATGTACTGCTCCGTTTTCTGTGCTCCCTTTTTTTTAGCACTGTGCTTGTTGGGAACGGGCCGAACGGCTGCTTCCGAACACAGCCACAGCCGTCCTGTTCATCCATCCTACTACTATTCTACTCCTACCTCTTTCGATCGGAGCTAGTTAGGCAATGTGACGACGAAAAGAATGAGAGATAAAGCTCTCCTCTTCTTGGTTTGGCCATCCATGGCTCCATCTCCATGCAAATTAATCTCTCAAGTCTCAAGGCTGACCAAATTAAATGAAGATGTTTATAAGAAATTCTTCTCCCTTTTTTTTTTCCGTTTTGGCATCGCCGTGGACAATTTAGTTTTCTTTCTGCGTGAATGCGTCATCGTCGGATGGATGCATTGATCGGTGAGTGACCGACCCATCACGAGCTTGACATGTTCCAACCGATCAAAAGAATCTACTAAAGTATAACTACTTCACAAGGTGGCCTATTTGATAGAACCAAACATTTGAAAATTGCAGATATTTTGAAATATTTTGGTCTGAAATATTTCAAAATTTGAATAAATTTTGTTTAATTCATTTTTTTTTGCAAAAATCTTATTTTTTGGATGAAATTGTTTCCTTTTTTTTTCCTACGGGGAGACCATCTCTCATTTAATCTATACCCTTATCTAAATGAATCTGGCCATTTAATTTCACCTCTCAACTTAATCGATATTTTTTTTTCAAAGGTGCTTACTTTCTTCATCCCAAAATAAATAATTTATGTCATGTGGTCCATCCTAATATAATGAATCTAGGATGAATCTTTTCTAGATTCATTTTATTAGGATAGAGAGAGTACATTGATGGAGTAGCTAGCAGCTCAATTTGCTAACTGGTGGCACGTCACTCAGCTAGTCAGCCCACGTACACTTTCCTGCAGTTTGGAGACGGGCATCATGGCTTGATGGACTTATATCCGAGAAAGAAAATGAGATCCGATCAGACTAAAACTTAGGGTTGGTGCAGATCAAACTAGAATTGAACTTGGAGATCACATTCTGCAGCAGCCAGCCCGATGAGTTGACCCAGATCGATGGCCAAATATTCATGTATGTGATCGATGCTCATATAGTCATATATATGGTGTTGTGTTGGTCAAGCAAGCAATGATTTTTTGGTATCCCTAGTTGCAAAAGCATGATTGGTGCTCGAAGAAAGGGCACACAGCTAATTCAGCCAATGAAAAAAACACCTAGGATCGGACGATGACATCAAACTAAGGCAGGATCTTTGATCGAGAACAAAGAAGATTGTCCGAATATATTTCTGCTGAATCAAACCGTTTCCATCGTCAATTTCACCATGTAAGAGGTCTGTCTGAAAAGTTCATGATCCTTGCAATGTAGACGAGCCTAAATTAAACTAGTGTACCAATTTTCATCATCACCTTGCTTGCAACCAAATTTCAAATACTTAAAAGAAAAAGAAAGAAACCTTGCTTGCAACCAACGACGATGCACACCGTGAGGAAGCTTAATTAACATCAGAAATGCAAGCTATAATTAAGTCTCGCCGACAATGCATGCCAAAACATGTCTGAAGTTCTGAACAGTATCGTGTTTCATTGACCGTTGAGAATGAAGATGAGTTGACCACATTTGCAAGAGCAGTCCAATAACTGAAGATGAATGATTTCTTGGCTCTTGTTTAATTAGCTTAACTAAACTATAAACTATATTTGTGCGCGCTCACTGAAAAATGGTGTTCTAATTGATTTCACATGCACAAACCCAGACCGTTCAGTGGTCGACAGAGATAGATATAATGTTGTTAGTTTGTCACATCCATGGATAGATATATATATCAAGTTATACAGGAATAAATTAAATTCACGGAAAATGGAATAGAGACGAATAACTGAAGACAAAAAAACACTCTGTTACATCCAACAATGACACATTATTATTGATGATTTTATTGCAAATTACATGGATCGGTTGTGATACAACGGGGACGAAATGCAAGACACATCAACATTACACACACGCACGTGTATACGTTCTAGTAACAATTAATCGTCCAAATTAATCAAACAAAACATTGTTCAGAATCTCATAATAATCAATCAACGACGATCAACATCAGACACGCAATAATCACACACACACATGACAGACAGTCAAGCACAAGTCTAGCTAGGTCTACTTCAATAATTGGCTAGTGTGTACGCCGCGCATACGTATACGCGTACATGTATACGTATGTACGCGTACATGTATACGGTCACTGCACCGTATATGCCCAAGGAGAAGAACGCCGTCAGCTTATTCCGATCCTTCCTCTTCCTCTACTACTTAATTACGCACATGTATTCCGAATTTATACGCCGTATTTACTACTACTAGGTATTTATACGGTAGTACAGTATATATAGTGTATTTATACGCAGATACGTCGCCGGCTGACCGGGGTGGAAGGAGACCGTAGATCGACGGTGGTCGGCGGCGGTCAGTGCGCCGGCGGCGAGTTGGGGTCGGTCGGGGGGAGCACGCCGCCGCGGGGGTTGGTGTTGGGCTTGGGATCGGAGTAGTCCGCCACCGTCGACACCATCCCATCGCCGGCCTGGAGGGCCGAGCGCCACCGCCCGTAGCGGCGCGCCGGCTTCACCAGCTGCACGTCCTTCGCTTCCCCTGCATCGATCGACCGCACACACCACACCACACCAAATCATGAAATTAACCAATCGAAGAAGGAATCTAGTTAACACAGCGAGAGATCGGTGAGGTGAGCGCCTGCGTACCGTGCGAGAAGGAGAGGGCGAGGAGGAGGGCGGCGAGGAGGAGGAGGGCGAGCAGCCTCGGCTTCGCCATTGCTGTGTGGAGGAGATTGGGGAGAGAGATAAGAGGGGGGGGGGGAATGGGATCGAGGAGGGAGGGAGGGAGAAGGAGGTGGTGGTGTTTCGTGGGGGCTTTAAACGAGGCTTTTGGAGGGTTCGATGGCGCCGGGATGCGGCGTTGCGTGCGGAGGGGCCAGGTTGGCCTGCCTAATTTCACGTGCCACTTCACAGCCACTGCTAACTGGCCCCACTAAACTATGTGTTTGGAGGTGGGTGTTGGGAACGGGAAACTATTTTAACAGCTCGAGTGGATGTCCACCCGTTTATTACATGTCATCTAAATGGTTATGAAAAAAATTAAAAAAATATTAATAAGATAGATCAATATGTAATGTATCAATCCACAAACATGCAAGTTAAAATTCAACTTCTACAGATTGTAATAAAAATAACAAACAAAACTCAAATTACTATATGTATATTTACAGTTAAATTTGTTATTTTTGTTACAACTTGTAGAAGTTGAATTTTAACTTGCATGTTTGTTGAGTGATATATTACATATTGATCTATCTTGCAAATTTTTTTGAAAATTTTTCGTAGCCATTTAGTTGACATGCAATAAACGGGTGGACGTCCACTCGAGCTATTAGAATCCATCCCCGTTGGGAACCCATCTCCTATCCACGAAAAACGGAGCGGTCCATTAACACGTGATTAATTAAGTACTAGTTAATTTTTTTTTCGAAAATGGATCAATATGATTTTTTTAAACAACTTTTGTATAGAAATTTTTTTCAAAAAACACACCGTTTAGCAGTTTGAAAAGCGTGTACGCGAAAAACGAGAGGGGAGTGTTGGGAACTTGCTCTTGCAAACACACCTGGCTCTTGCAAACTAAGTGAAATCCAGAGTATCATAAGAGCAAGTTTAATACTCCCTCCGTATTTTAATGTATGACGCTATTGATTTTTATCTAATGTTTGACCATTCGTCTTATTCAAAATTTTTATGCAAACATGAAAATATTTATGTCATGCTTAAAGAACATTTGATGATGAATCAAGTCACAATAAAATAAATGATAATTACATAAATTTTTTAATAAGACGAATGGTCAAACGTTGGATAAAAAGTCAATGGCGTCGTACATTAAAATATGGAGGTAGTAGTATTATAGCTAACTATAGGCTCCAAATCAACTATAGTCAATTTAATAGCCAATTCATGTAATAGTTATCAATAAACATGTAATACATAATTAATGTCTGGTCCCACCTGTCATACACACATGTATCTTAAAGTCCATGCTGCAGCTGGCTACAAATTTGTTGTCCGCTGCTCCGTACGTCCCAAATTAGATGTCGTTTGACCGTTTATTTTATTTAAAAACTTAGTGTAAATATAAAAAAGATAAGTCATAATTAAAGTATTTTTGATAATAAAGCAAGTCACAAACAAAATAAATAACTATTCTATAATCTTTTAAATAAGACGAATAGTCAAATATTACAAACAAAAACTCAAAAAAGGCTATTTTGGGACGGAGGTAGTATCAAAGTGGCAAATTTTGCAATAGGACACTGTTATTGTGTGGTTTTAGTCGTGAGACACTGCTCAAACTCACTTTGGGGGAAACACTCCATAAACATGGTAATTTGCCAATGGACACCGCGCCGATTAAAATAATGATTTCCGGTTGAGGAGGAGAGAGAAATCACATGAAATGTCAAAAATGCTCTTGGGCATGTCAGCTGGCCATCTCTCTTCCTCTCTTTCTTTTTCTTTCTCCAGGGCTTCGGCCACCGGCGTGCAGAGTGATGACGCAGCACCGGCGGTGTAGGAGATGGAGACCGAGACGGTGGCCTAGCGGTCCACCACGCCGCCGATCCCCGACGCGCCGTCAACTCGTCGCCGATGGCGTGGTTGGTCCGGCCGTTGCCGGGGCGCTGGTAGAACCGCGCGGCTAGGCCGCGGTCCAGCTCCGTCATGCACACCTCCACCGTGAGCCGCGTCGCGCCACGAACGACGACGACGACGAAGATGCCAAGTAGACGTGCCACCTGTGCGAGGCACCGGGCGACGACGACGGCGGCATCACGGCGGAGTGGCGGAAGAGTAGGACCTCACAGGGGAGGGCGCCGTCGAGGTACGCCACCTCGTCGGCAAAGTCAGCGTGCGGGAACGGTTGCGCCTCCGGGAACAGGCACTCGCCGCAGGAGTACCTGCACGACTGGAGCCGGAGTGCCCGGCTGAGCCCGCCCGCAGCGGCGGCACGCAGCAGTACGGGCACCGCGCGCAGCAGCGGCGTGGTGCCGCACGTCTTGAGCACCTCCCTGCCGCCGACACGACAGCACACTGCGCCGCGTCGAGCACCTCCCGCAGCGCCAAGGGAGAAAGAAAAAGAAAGAGAGGAAGAGAGATGGAGAGCTGACATGTGGGCCCAAGAGCATTTTTAACATTTCACGTGATTTCTCTCTCCTCAACCGGAAATCATTATTTTTATTGGCACGGTGTTCATTGGCAAATTACCATGTTTATGGAGTGTTTTCCCCTAAAAGTGAGTTTGGACAGTGTCCCGCGGCTAAAACCACACAATAGTAGTGTCCTATAGCAAAATTTATCAATCAAAGTAGTACTGAAATACCGCATCTAAAATTTGGTAGTCCTAAAACTTTAACGATATTTTCCTCTCGGTGATCGTATTTTTTTTTGTCTAAAATTTGTTAGGACTGCACACATTATAGATATGTGTTTGTGAGATACTCCATCCATTTCACAATGTAAGTCATTCTAGCATTTTCCACATGCATATTAATGTCTAGATTTATTAATATTAATATAAATGTAGAAAATACTAAAATAATTTACGTTATGAAATAACTTACGTTATGAAACGGAGTGAGTATTCATGATTGTTTTCATAATAATGTACTCATGCCTTCTAGTCGTCGCGACCTATTTATCATAGGGTAGTGTGTTTGTACACAGTCTTTATTATCACCGATGACATTTTTAAAAAGTTGTGACTTATGATCCATCTACCAACAGGATTTGCGTACACCGCCTAAAGGTATGTCACGTTGCACAAGGAAATAAAAGAAATGCGAGTCTTTGCTTTGGAAAAAAAAATATGACCTCTTCTTGCTTCTTGGGAGTAGAAACTTCTGTAATCGGAAGCTAGATTAGAAGAGATTCATGCTGGGTTTTGGTTGGCATCCCTTCTCAACTTTACCAAGATATAGGAGTGTTTATTTTGCTAAGAAAAAAAATGTGTTGACCGTAGACGCAAAAGCTATTCGCCCGAGCTAGGTATGCCACACTTATATGATGCTATATCTATCGCTGATGTGGTACACCATGCTATCATCTACTAAGAGCAAGTTTAATAGAATCGTCCACTACTAGCTCCAATTCATCTATAGCCGATCTAATAGCCGATCTAATAGCCAATTCATACAATAATAGCTTACTATACTATTAATATATGGTCCCACATGTCATATACGTATGTTATTTTAGAGTCCGTGCTGCAACTGGCTACAGATCTGTAGCCCACTGCTTTTATCTCTTATCTTTTATCTTATTAAAATATGTTTAATAGCTGGCTAATAGTCTGCTATTATACCCGCTCTAAGCATGTACTTTTTCTCATGCAAAGTTTTTTTTTCCATTGATAGAATAAATGGCACTAATAACTAGGCGTATTTCTATCCGGTATAACGTCGCTTTGTCAGCATAGCATTCCCCAGTTGCTAGGCTATTCAGAGTTCTTTTGAACCTTGGGCCTTAGCCAGTGATCTGGACTGTTTCTCACTCGACGATGAAGATCTGGTGATGGGCTTATCCTTCATAGTCTCACTGGCCGACTTTATTATTGGAGAGAGAGGATGATTGTGGTACGTAGGGTCAAACAAACTTTGATACTTCAACAGAACATAATGACTTCCAACATACAAATAGAAGAAGACAACGATGGTAGGGTTGAGCAGGGAAGGGGACTAGCTTTGTAAAATAGATGATAACTCCTAGAAATAAATCTTATTGATGATATATTGGACTACTCATTATTGGTGGCATGCACAACTAATCACCGAACTTAACTCCAGTCAAATTTGTCCAAATTTTAACATTACAGAATTTCAGCTGAGAATCAGCCCAACCCAAAACCCTTTGTTGTCTCTCCCAAGCAAAAATTGGAAAAAGTCCACTTTGACTCCCTTAAATATCGGCCGAATCTAATTTGTACCCCTTAACAAGAAAACCGGATAAGATGGCTCCCCGAACTATTAAAACCGGTGTAATTTGACTTCCTCGGTGGTTTTAGAGGGTGGTTTTGCTGATGTGGCGCTGATGTGGCAGTGTTAACTTGGTCTTCGTACCACATGACGCTTATGTGGCATTAGAATTTAAAATATATATGTGGGACCCATTTATCATTCACACAAAAAGAATATTATGGGACCCACATGTCATCCTCTCACTCCAACCCTTCTTCCTCCTCCCTCTCTCTCCTTCTCTTTTCTTTTTCCCTTCGGCTGTGGCGGAGGCAGGCGGGTCGACGGCCGACGGGTGCTGGAGCAACGGCGGCGGCACGGCCTCCACGAGATTCATGTACATGTCGCTACGGCGCAGCACTATGACCTCGAACCGCCCCCCGCCGTCGGGGAGCTCTTGGATCGACAGGGTGATCTCGTCAGCTCGACGATAGAGTTTGCGATGGAGAGCAGCCAGTCCATCTCCCCGCATCCACATCGCCTTCCTCGCCAAAGCCAGCGGCTCTAGCCTCCACAGCTCGCTCGATCTCCTATCCCTGCACCAGCTCCGGCGCCGCCACATCGCTGTCGTTCCCCTCTCCCTACCCCACACCTCACACTCTCTCTCTCCCTCTCCTCGCATCATCGTATCATTTCCTTTTTCCGGGAAGGAAGGGACGGCCGAGAACAATGCTAACGCCTCTCCGCCGTCGCATCCCACCTCTCTCCTCGCCTCGAAAACACCCAAACTTGAGGCGGACAGCCTGGCCCCCACCGGTGCGAAGCTCGTTCCTCTCCTCGTGTCCCTCGCGGTCGGCCTCGCCGTGCGCTTCCTCGCCTCGCACCCTGCCGAGGTGAGCCCCCAGGCGTGGCAGCTCCTCTCCATCTTCCTCTCCACCATCGCGGGGCTAGTGCTGGGCCTGCTTCCCGTCAGCGCCTAGGCTCCCCGACGACGCCTTCGCAGGGCTCCTCGAGCACGCCACGGACGATGACACGGAGGGCCTGCACCGTGCGCTGGAGCGCGCCCCGCCCGCCGCCGCTGCTTGTTGCTGGGGCTCCGCGCCGCCGCCGAGAAAGAGAGATAAGAGAGAGAGAGAGAGAGGGGGGGGGGAGGAGGAAGATGGGAAGTAGAGGGAGGATGACCTGTGGGGCCACATGTCGGTGGGTCCCACTTCTTTTTTCCTCTTATTCCATGTAAGCGACACGTGGGATGAAAACCAGGTCAGCACCGCCACGTAGGTGCCACGTCAGCCAAAACCGCTTGCAAAACCATCTAGGGAGTCAAATTACACCGTTTTAATAGTTCGGGGAGCCATCTTATCCAGTTTTCTTGTTAAGGGGTATGAATTAGATTCGGCCGATATTTAAGGGATTCAATGTGGACTTTTTCCGCAAAAATTAGCCGGGTGAACGGTGCCCAGAATGTAGCCCACAAATCGTGTTCAGTAGACCGTAGACATAAGGCTTCTTTCCACCCAGTAGACATGCGTACGTGCAGGATCATATTTGGGCTTGAACATTACATTTGACCTTGGCTACTACGGGCCACACTTTCAGATATCAAAATTTGGCTAGTGGGCTCTCTATGCCACTATGGCGTATGGGCTGTCCATGCATGCATGACAGATTAGAATAAGTCCACCTATCATCCCTCATCTTTACGTCGAGTTAATTTAATACCCTAACCGTAATACCAGAAATCATAATCTCCCAACTTACAAAACCGGGTTAAATTAAATCCTCTAGTGGTATAGATATCTGGTTTCACTGATGTGGTGCTTATGTGACAATAAAAAAAAGAGAAAGTGGACCCCACATGTCAACCTCACTAATCATAGATGTATGTATTCCACTAAGCAAGAATATAGGGTCACTGATAATATGTTGTTCGAAATAAATAGTGCAACCATAGAGCATGAAACTGTGATTGTAAAAAGAGATGAACCTCTGATCGATTCTGAAACGTTGGAGGCGTCGTGGTTGGTGGCAATCGATCAAAGGCAGCGGCCGGGATGGTTCGGCTTCGGTTTGGTGGCAGGATCGATCGCATCAGGCGCGCGATGGGCGAGAGTTCCCCAAGGCAGCCCCGATTGGCGAAGGGGAGGATCAGCTGAGCGTGGAGTTGCAGTTGCAGTGGACAAATGAAGCAACGAAATCCAGAGTAACCAATCCTAATTTAGCACAAATTAAATTAATTAACTTTAAAGCTCCAAGCGAAGAGTAGATAGAGGCAGGTAAAGCATTATGCATTATACTAATTCTGCTTCGGTGCGATGTTGAGTGGAATTTACGATGCAACATCGAACATCACATAAGCAGCAGCAGACAAAATTTGAAGGGGGAACAAATACATTGGTCTCATCAGGTATTAGATCAGCAAACTGAAGTGAAGGGAACATGTGGGAGTGGAACCTGAAGTGCTCACCAGTCGCGTGGACGAGGCACCGTTTGGTCCGTGGAGGAAGGCCTCCATGACCATGACCATGGTGTCATCATCAGCTGCCGCCACTAAGCTCCCGCCACGTCCCGTAGTCCAGAGAGCTCAAGACGCACGACCGAGGGTGGTAGGGGCGACGGATCCGACGACGATGGCGGGCGGTAGGGCCTGGAGCAGGCAACACCGGCGCTGTTGCGGATCTGGCTCGGAGGACGGCGGCGGGCTGCATAAATAGGATTTTTGCATGCGGTTGTGCTCGCCGCATGCAAAAATCACATTTGGCCGCTTGCAAAAATGATTTTTTTAGTTTGGCTTGCTTACTTGCATTTGATCATGCACTACGCTAATTAAGACAAATCAATTTATTAAATAAGTTATCACCTCCATGGGTGCATCACAAGTGTCTAACAACTTGGGCTATCTCAATTAGCTAGGCTGCAGCTTTACTGGTACTTGGAGACTTGAAGCAGGGAAGCAGAGATGAGAAGGATATGTAAGGTTCTCTGCATCCTTTACCTCTCACCCTGCTGTACAATATACACGATAGAGTGATACATTTCTTAGACCCCCTCTTTTCTCTTTGGGTTGCTCGGATGGCCTTCAAATGTCAACTTTGTAGCAGCTTCAGTGAGTGCGCTGCATGGGTCTGAGTGTGGTGACTAGGAAGGGAAACGAAGAGTGTACTAAGAAGGCGACAAGTGGATTACACAATTTTGTTGACTTAACCAAACTACTTGTGAAGTCTATGCCATCAAGGATTTACAAAACCAACGAAAACTGAACTTCCTGGGCTGGCTCGGGAACACATACGGGTCAGTTTCTTACTGAAGTTTTTTAAAAAATCAAACTGAATTTAATTTTTGACAAAATTTGATCGGATTTCACTAGTAAACAACGGTTTTTTTTTTGTGAAAATCCCAAAACCACCATGGTCCCGTTTTTGTGAACCGTAATACCATCACAAGACTATATTTTTACAGTGACCTAACATAAGGATTAATATAGTCCGATCATTACTTTTGATCCGATCCGATCCGTTTTGTATGACTTGTCACAATCATATTGAACTAACACATGACTTTTAGAAAGTAAACGGGGATTGAAACACATAATGGTAGACTAAATTCACATTTCATATGTCATGTTATAATAGATACTTCCTCCGTTTCACAATGTAAGTCATTCTAGCATTTTTCGCTAGCATCTATATGAATGTGTGAAATGCTAGAATGACATACATTGTGAAACGGATGGAGTAAGAAAAATAAACAATATTGAGGTGCGGATGAAATTAAAACCACACAAGTATATTGTTTTGTTTTCATTAAAGAGTATAAATTGCACATGTGATACAAGAACTTGGTAGGTGGGTACGATCTAGTGTACTAACTTAAAAAATGAGTAGATTGGTATGTAAACTCGGCAACATTTTGGTTAAAAACATTGTTATGCACCTTTGATTAATCATGTTTCGTTATTTGTATTATAAGCTTAACAAGATTGTTGGCTCCTGGATTAATTTTGTGTTTTGCAGTGTATTTGTCACCGGAGACAATGATATGTATGATTAGTCTAATAGTTTGGAAACTATGTTAGTTTGCATACACACTTACTTTTGCTAATCATTATATTTTTCAGTTTCAAATCGATATGCAATTTTATTATACAACCAAGAAAAAAAACAATACATAATACATGTAGATCCTTATCGAGATAGTCACAACATAATACATGTAGATCCTTATCGAGATAGTCTGAGTGACTGCTTTTTTACATCGCTAGCTTAAAAAGTATATATGGTGTGGAATATTGATTTTTTAACAAAAATGTACACATTATCCAAGTTATCGCACCTCTATGCTTTTTTTTTAAGTTCTTGCATTAAATTACATCCACCTCAAGTTTATATACGTACCATAGACACAATTTACTACTTATTAAATAAACTTGGTTAGCACTTGAGCACGAGCTTATAGAGTGCACTATCTAATTACAGAACTCGTGGACTAATTGCACCAACCATCTAGTAGCGCTAACTAAAACTCTAATAAAGATCCAATCATTCAACACTCTCAGCATTTTAAAAGCACAGATCCACTCCTATAAGAAACCACCCCATTGCTCAGCCGAAATTCTCAAATCCACTGCATGCATGTCCTGTCCCCGTTGCAAATATACAAAAGTGACCACCTTTCCAGCACCATATCTCTCGCCACTCTTGGATACCAACCGTACTTACCAACGCACAATCAAAAGTTCTTTTGTGGACTTGTGAAATTCCCATGGGTTTTTGTTCGTTCCAAGACAGACGCCACCACCACTGCCATGCCAAACAAGGAGTTGCAGCCACTGGTTGTTGTGGATGCTTAGCTTGTGCATCCACCACTATGGATGATCCATGCATCTCCCAATGGAAATATCTCTCTCAGTTCATGCGTAATGCCGTGCATTATGCATAATTGAGAATAGTTCATCAGAAAGCCGTCCCATTAGTTTTGTTGTGACAATGACATGCATATTGTCTGAAATGCAATACAGCTCTGGACTTTGAAATTTTCGTGTATGGCACTTTGTTTTGACATAGAGGCTGGAAATAGCTTTTCTTGTTCAGGACTTGTTGCTACATTGAATTTCACCGCAAAAATATTAACAACGTGATGGAGTAATTAAGGATTTTAATTTTTTCTTTGTTTAGACCAAGTCGGTGGATTTTGATAAATATATCTAGTTATATTAATGTGTAAAATGAAATTAAGATGGTGACAATTTTTCCTTCAAATTAAGCAAACACCTCTGAAAACACAAGATACCCATGAAGTAGCTACTTACATATGACTTACTAATTAGTCTTCTTTTAATAGAAACTACACCATCTCTCACTCTCTCCTCATTCAACAAATGGCATGCCATGACCAAATACAGCAATATGAGATATGGACTAATAGAAGCACTTCATCAACTAGTGGACGGGGAAGAAAGGCAGAGAAAGGTTGGGCTAGTGCCAAATTCCACTGATTAGACTTTGTGAATCTCCACCTTGCCTTTTTGACTTTGGCTCCTAAATGAATGATCTAGGTTGCATGACATGTGCAATAAAAAGGGGTTGAGGGCATGACCAAGAAGTAGTGCAAGGGCACATGAAGCCAGCAGAGATTCCATTCCATTGAGAACTTGAGATAGTGCTGCTCAACAGCCTTCTATAGTGCATGCATACAATGGGGAAATCACCAGCACTACCACTCTACTATCTTCTTATCACCTTGTTGGCATTCTACTTCTTGATTGTTCCTTCCAATGCTATACCTCTCTCAAGTGAGTTCAGAATCACACTCATTGCCTTCCTTGATTCCTTGATCCATTTGGTTTTGTTGTTCTAGCATGTAAGATCAACCTGTTCATTCACATCCCTTTTGATTGCAGGAGTGCAAAGGCTGCACTTGCAAGAGTCCAGTGAGATGCCATTAGTCAGAGGCAGCACAGCAAAGCCAAAGGTATTTTAAATAATATAATATTATCTTCTCATTCTTAAGGACACATTGTTTCCATCCTTTTATCTTAATTTCCCTGGGTTTTTTATATGCATGCATATATAAGAGCTCATGAGAGGAATCCTATAAACCGACGCAGAGCATCTTGCATAATTCAAAATTTTCTTAGATGTTTGTTACACGTTTTTCGTACATCAAAATTTGTTCTCCAGTGAAGAAAAGGATTAGTGGTTCATAACCTGTTGCTAGTGCAAGAATTGTGTATAGGAATAGTTTTTCAAAGATTCCCATGTTAAAAAGGTGGATAGTTAGCATGATTGATATCCCCAAGATATGTACTGTTGAATTAGAGATGCATCAATTTGCGTCGAAGGACCTAGGTACACAAGTACTCAATCTACAACCTTATCACTTTCCTAGATATCGTTGTTATGGCCCAACCCATAGCCAACTTGAGAGAACCACTCCGTATTGAGTTATATATCAAGAGAGATGGTGGATTCATATCACATGGAAGTCAGAAAAACACTTACTTTACTATACACAGCATAGAATTGTTCGTTTTCATCAATGATATCTCTTTCAGATGGAAATGGAGAGACCAGTTGTTGCCCTAGAGGAGGACGCCATGATCAATGCGAGGATGGCTTTGGAGACACAGGACTATGCACCCTCAGGCCCAAACAACCACCACAAGCCACCGGGTTGGAGCTGAGCAGCTAGCTAGCTAGCTAGGATTCATATATATCACCTATATCAAAGTGTGTGCTTATATCTTACTCATGCAGTCTCATGTGCATGTGCCCTTCCCTTCATGACGATTTTGCAAAACCTCTTGATTGGTAGTCTGAGTCTTGTGACATAGCTTATGTATGAGATGTGGCTGTGAGTCAGCACAGGTGGCAACGATCACGTGTAACAAAAGGTGAATTATATTGCCAAGGCCTCGTATTTATTTGAGTTAGTTTGGGTATGTGAACTCTAGCTTAACTAGTCATATATATACTTCTTCCAAAGAGACTGAATATAGGATCAACTGTTCTTTCATCTGAGTAGTGTTGGGGGATCAGAGGCTCATTCTTATCCTTTCTTTCTCTCTCCTCGTTTGAACAGTGCAAGAGAGCTCTCCAATTCTTTCTCTGTCTCCGATGACCGTGGGTCGCTAGGGAGGGGATGGGGGAGGGGGGAGGGTCCAGGGAGCGGTTGGGCTTGTCCCAGTGTCGGGTTTTTTCCGTAGTTTGTGTAGTTCAATGGAGGAAGTTGTGTCGTCCTTCTTCGTCCTGGAGGTGCTTAGCCATGGATGGAGTTGTTGAAACTTATTCCTGTACTCTCTATTCCAACGGTACTCATTGGGTAAGTACTAGACGCCCTACTCTTCGGTGTCTGCGGCTTCAAGTTCACCAGATTTGCATGCAAAGAGGTTATGTCGGCCGTCCAACTTTTCTCTGGTGACCAACACAGAAGAACGGTGTTCTTTCCTTGGTATTCGGTTTTTCGTCTTCTGGGGGCAGCTGTGGTTTTCTTGTTTGGCCAAGGTAGCTTCAACCTCCACTGCGGAGGCCCCGACTGGGTTTGCTCCTCGGCTCTCTCCTTTGCAGCTCGCCATGGAATCATCCTCCCCATCGACGTCGGCACAAGATGGCTCGCCGTTCCTGTGGAAAAAGTAGGATCCGATTGCTTTTTAAGTTTTTTAAGTCCTCTTTTACATATTTTGTGTTATAAGGTTAATTTGCCCATTTCTTAGGGTCTTTTCTACAATCTGGAAGTTATATGTGTCGACTTCCTCTCTCATGTACGTTGTGTACCTTTACTTTAAAGAAAGTACATAAGTTTTTTTTGAAAAAAAAACATTGTTCATTCATCTTAATTAGACATCATACTGGAAATGATATTTTATTTGTATTATTAGTAGCGCATTTTACCTATACTGAGTACATATTTTTAATAGCATACTTTTTTATCATAAATTCATAAATATAACCTTAAATTACTACTCCCTTTTCCCATTTTAAGTGCAGACATGATTTTCCGTGCACAACTTTGACAGTCTGTTTTATTTGAAATTTTTTTGAAAAAATTTAAAAACATAAGTTACGTATAAAGTAATATTCGTGTTTTATCATCTCATAATAATAATAATAATACTAATTCTAAAAAAATTTTAAATAATACGGACGGTCAAAGTTAGACGCGGAAACTTATGGTTGCACTTAAAATGGGACGGAGAGAGTACTCAATAATGAATGAAAGGGTTAATTTTGGTAGATCCAAATACAATTTGGAGTCTCCCTTTTGCTATTGTTACTACTAGAAAAGCAATTTTCGCAGGCGGCCAAAATTGCTCTTTGCAGGTGGTCACACACGCCGCTTGTAAGCAAAGGCATGCGAAAATATTATATCTTCACAGGAGGATGGCCGCTCACCTAGAAAAAGCTATTTTTGCAAACGGATAGATGAAGACGGCCGCATGTGGAAATAGGTTTTTCATAAGCGGTGTCCTTATGTCACCCGGCTAAAAAATATTTTTTTTTCAAAAGAAAAAGAAAATTAACCGCATAAAAGCCGTTCCACCGACATAAATAGAATGGTTTAGAAATGATTTTTTTTCCTCGGATTCATCAACAACAGCACTAGCATGCATGCATCAACAGCAAACAAAACACGGACAGCAATAGCTAGCATCATACTCCCTCTGTTTCAAAAAATCTAACCTAGCACTTGGATGGAACACAATTAATACAACGGATTTGAACTAGATTGGATTCTTTTGAGTCGAGTAATCATCAACAATTCAACAGCAGTATAAAGGCATTCATGCAACAACATCCTCAGATCTGGTTCGTATGGGCTCACCGGCCGGCGAGCACGCTGGCAGCAGCTAGCTCGCACCACTCCGCAACAGCATCCGCAGCTGGACGCTTTTGGCTACAGCGTCCACCTTATATTTTACGAAATCTTAGCAACTACTCCCTCCATTTCACAATGTAAGTCATTCTAGCATTTCTCATATTCATATTGATGTTAATGAATCCAGATTAAACGGAGAAAGTACAAGTAATTACCACTTATTCAGTTTCAGGATTATTAATTATTGAGAATAGAAAAATAGGGCCCATGTTCATCACCTAACGTGACAAAAAAAATGCAGAAAAAGTACGCTGAAGGTCACTCAACTTATCATCGAGTTACAAAATCATCTTTGAACCGTACATTGGTGGAGAAATGCTTTTTAGTCCCGGTTCGTAACCCCCCTGTAGTCCCGGTTTTTCAACCGGGACTAAGAATCCGGGACTAAAGATCGCTATCTTTAGTCCCGGTTCAAATAACCGGGACTAAAAATCAATCTTTAGTCCCGGTTGGTGTTACCAACCGGGACTAAAGATGGGAGCATCTTTAGTCCCGGTTGATAACACCAACCGGGACTAAAGATATTTTTTCTTTTTTTTTCTGCTTTTAATATTGAATATTGATTTCACACCATCCCCTCCCATATCCAAATCATCACATATTACAGAACATCTCCAAATCCTCAAACAAATCATCTCCAAATACATTACAAACTCTTAAAAAAATTACATCACAGGGTTCTAAAAAATTCATCACAGATTCACATCTCACACAAAAATACATCACAGATTCACATCTCAAAAAAAAAAGAAAAAAAATCTGGCCGGCGGCCACTGCCGCCTCCCCTCCTCCCCTCTGCGCCGGCCGGCCAGCGCCGCGCCGGTTGCCGCCGAGCGGCCGCCCACCGCAGCCGCCGCCTCCGCGCGGCCTCCCGCGCCGCCGCGCCGGCCGCCCACCGCCGCCGCCGCGCGGCCCCCCGCGCTGCCGCGCCGGCCGCCATGCAGGCCGCCTCCGCGCCGTCCCCTGCGTCGCCGCCTCCACGCCGGCCGCCTGCACTGTGGTGAAGGAAAAAAGGAAGGAGAGGAGGGGAGTTAGAGATAAGGAAAGAGATAAGAAGTTAGAGAGGAAAAAAAGAGATAGAGGGAGGAGTTTGTTGTGTGGACGGGAAAAGAGGATCGGTACTATGGATTATATAGTGTGTTTTGATTTTTATTCCCGGTTAGTAACACCAACCGGGACTAAAAATAGGTTTTTAGTCCCGGTTGGTGTTACTAACCGGGACTAAAGATCATAGGGCCCTGACACAGCCTGACATGGAATCAACCGGGACTAAAAATCATCTTTAGTCCCGGTTAGAGTTACCAACCGGGACTAAAGATGATTTTTAGTCCCGGTTGGTAACAACAACCGGGACTAAAGATCTTCCTCTTATTAACCGGGACTAAAAATCATTTTTAGTCCCGGTTTTTAATGGAACCGGGACTATTATGGATATGGGTCGACCGACCAAAGATGGTTTCTCTACCAGTGGTAAAATCGGATATGACGTATCCCCCAATTTACAAAACCAGTGCAAATTATATCCCTCGGTGGTTTTGACCCCGGTTTTGTCAGATGTGGTAGCTGACTCAGCGTGGAACCCACGTGGGCCCCACACGTCAGCCTGTTCTTCCCCTCCCATCTCTACCTCTCTTCCTCTCACCTCTCTTCTCCACGAGCGGCGGCGGGTGAGCAGCTGCATGGGTGGTGGCCGGTGGGGGAGCAGCTGGGCGCGGCAGAGCAGCGCGTGGGCAGGCGCAGGCGGCGGGGGGAGCAGCTGGGCGCGACCGGCGGGCGGCGGATCAGCGCGCGGGAAGGTGGTGGCCATCCCTTCCTCTCTTCCCCATCGTCTCCTCCGCCTAGTTGACCCACCAAACACATCGCCTATAGTTTGGTTGGAGGGAGTTTTTAGGAGGGATTGGGAGTTTAGAGGGATGAGGCTATTAAGTGTTTTGTTTGGTTGGGAGACATGGGAATTTTGGTGGGATGGGGATGGGGATGGGGAATTGAGGAAGGAACTCCCTCCTTTTCAATACGTGGGTAGGAGCAGGTAATTGGGAGGGAATTCCTCCTTTACTTAATCTAAGCAAATCTCAGTCATCCATTTTTATTAATGATCTAATCTCCAACTAAACTCCCTATCAATTTCCATAACCTCTACCAAACAAGATATTGGGATTAAAAATCAAATTCCCATCTTAATCTCATTATCAATTCTCTCGTGTAAACTCTCAATCCCCTTCCCTCGAGTTACCAAACAAGCTTTGAAGGGCCTTCAATTCCACCCCGCTCGCCGCCACAATCCCCGTCCGCTGGAGGAGAGTGAGCAGTGTCCACACCACACCCTCCGCCGAGTCCACCCATTGAGACCGCTGCCGTGCCCGTCGAGGGCTGGTGGCTGGAGGAGCTTGCCGAGGAAGTCATGGGCTTGAAGGGAACGAGAGGAAGAGAGAGAGAGAGGAGCCCCTGCCGCCATCGCTTGAGGAGACCCGCGCTCGACCTCCTCCCAGGTTCTACCCTTCTAGTCATCGTCGTTTGTGGCCTCATGGGGACCGCCATAGCCAAGGAGGCCATGGCGCGGCCATCCCCATCGATCGACGTCCTCCGCCTGATGAGCACCCGCTACCCCGTGGCCCAACTCCTCTCCCGTCGGCCGTTGCTCGCGCCCGCCGCACTGGCCTGCCGCGCGCCCGCGCCTAGCTCCTCTTCGCCGGGCGCTGCCCGTGGAGAGGGAAGGAGAGAGGAAGAGAGGTGGAGAGGGGAGGGGAAGAAGAGGCTGACACGTGGGTCCCACGCTGATTCAGCTACCACATCGGATAAAACCGAAGTTAAACTGCCAAGGGACCTATTTTACACTGGTTTTATAAGTTGGGGGATACGTCATATCCGGTTTTGCAGTTCAAGGACGATTTTGTAACTTGATGACAAGTTGAGGGACCTTCGCTGTACTTTTTCCAAAAGATGCAGATGCAAGTATCGAGCGGGCCGGGCCCGTTAGGCCCAACAGCAACCGCAGCGTGTGCTTTCCCCCACGACCAAATCGCCGTCGGCCGTCGCGCGCCGCCGCGCAACCTCCATGGAATGGCCGCTCTCCACCTCCACGCCCTCATCGCCGGCGGCGGCGGCGCCACCACCGTCCCCCATCTCCGGCAGATCCACGCCCATCTCCTCACCTCCGGCCGCTTCCCCTCCCTCGGCCCCGTCCTCCTCCGCCGCCTCATTTCGCTGCCCAATCCCCACCTCCACCTCGCCCACCGTCTCCTCCTCTCCCTCCCCTCCCCATCCCTCGACCTCTTCAACCTCCTCCTTCCCCCGCTCGCCTCCTCGCCGGACCCCTCCACCGCCGCCGCCCTCTTCCTTCGCCTCCGCCGCGGGGGTCTCCGCCCCGACGCGCACACGCTCCCGCACGTCCTCAAGGCGCTCGCGCGCCTCGCCCCGGGATCCCTCCCCGTTGTCGGATCCGTGCACTCGGAGGCCGTCAAGGACGGCCTCGCCTCCGCGGTGGTGTACGTCCCGAACGCGCTCATGGCCGCGTACTCGGCCTGTGGGCAACTGGAGCGCGCCGTGCAGGTGTTCGACGAAATGCCGCGCCGGACCGTCGTGTCCTGGAACACCGCGCTCACCGCCTGCGCGGGCAACGGCCGCCACGAGCTGTGCGTCGAGCTGTTCGCGGAGATGCTAGAGGCTGGTTCCGTGCCGGACCCGACCACGTTCGTGGTCATGCTGTCCGCCGCGGCCGAGCTGGGCAACCTGGCGCTCGGCAAGTGGGCGCATGGACAGGTTGTTTCCCGGAGGCTGGACATGACGCTTCAGCTTGGGACGGCGGCAGTGAACATGTACTCCAAGTGTGCCACGGTGAGTTATGCCCTGCGCTTGTTCGAGAGGATGCCCGCGAGGAATGTCTGGACATGGACTGCCATGATCGTAGGGTTTGCGCAGAATGGTTTGGCTCAGGAAGCGCTGGAGCTGTTTGACAGGATGAAACTCTCAAAGATCATACCCAATTATGTCACATTTCTTGGTCTGCTTTGTGCATGTAGCCATGCTGGCCTGGTTGATGAGGGGCGCCGGTTCTTCCACGAAATGCAGCATGTTTATGGTATTGTGCCGATGATGACGCACTACAGCGCCATGGTTGATGTCCTAGGCCGCAACGGTCTTCTCCAGGAAGCTTATGACTTTGTTGTAGGAATGCCAGTCGAGGCTGACCCAGTTGTGTGGAGGACATTATTGGCAGCCTGCCAGCTGCATAGCTCCAAGGACTGTATTGAGATCATTGACAAGGTGCAGGGCAAACTGCTGGAGCTAGAGCCCCGGAGAAGCGGGAACTACGTCATGGTTTCAAACATCTACTGCGAAATTGGATCATGGGACGAGGCAGCGAAGGCAAGGAGGGTGATGAGGGAAGGAGGGATGAAGAAGGTTGCGGGAGAGAGTTGTGTTGAGGTGGGAGGACGGGTGCATCGGTTCATCTTCGGGGATGATTCTTGCCCTGAATTTCATGGGGCTTGTAGGATTCTCCATGAATTGAATCTCAACATGAGAAAATGTGAACCTATTGACCCAATCTTATTTACTGATGATGCTGACTAGCTTTCAAATTTCGTGCATTCTTTTCCTTGATGATGCGTTTGGTTGTGTGAAACGGTCTAGAGCCTGTCATATAGTTTTGCTCTATTCTATCCAACCAAGCATTGCCCTTGTAAAATGAAGATGACTATGTTTTATTGGTCACTCTTCATTTTTTATTTGTCTATCCTGTATTTCGTCATGAGAAGGCTCCTTTGGAACTCATGAATTTTACAGGATTTTCATGGGGTTAGTTCAATTCTTATGAAAATCCTTCAGAAGACCTTTGCTTCAAGGAGGCTTAAATAAAAGCCAAGTTCCTTTGTGAGTTAGAAAGAAAAGAAAGAACGGGCATTTTACTTGCTTAGTGAAAACCATGATGTTGTTCTACCATAGGAGTAATGCCACATTGAACTGTCCGGGCCTAAATTGCGTTTGAACTGTAACACTCCAAAATGGCGTTTTATTTATTTAATTTTTAAATATCTGCTAGAGACAGGTACACCGCCAGGTGACCTCCACTGGCTAGTGTACCCTACTATCATCCGGATGTCGCCGGGCCTAGTGACGCCCATGAGCAAGATTGTGGATGAGGCCTCCAGAACTTGGTGGAAAAACATGGACCAGGGACTCACCTGGTGAGCATGTCGGTTCATCGGTCCACCAGTCGAACCGCCGATTTATTGTTAATTATTTTTTAAGTTGTAATCCACTCTCAAAGTAGTTTTTTCTATCCTCACCTACAAGATCCTCTTGCATAGTTGGTTAGGTGGGAGCAGCATCTCCAAGAGAGTGGCCATTTGACTCTCCAAGCTAAAATTTAGTAAGTGAAGAGAAAAAACACCCTCCAACAGATTTTGTCGTCCTGCTTGCCAAATCAACCCCCCGACTGGCTAAATCTAGCAAGCCTTCTTGGCTTGCCAAAGGTGGGTCACATATTCAGATCCTCCTCCCCCCACCGCCGCCACCACCGCCACAATTATGCAGTCATCGGAGCCGCCTCTCCTCTCTGTCCACCGCGTCCGTCGATCGGTGGAGAGGGGTGCAATGGTAGCGGCAGCGACCCCACCTCCTTTTCCTCAATAGCAACCCCACCGGACAGAGCTGACAAGCGTCGCCGCCTCTCATCCTAATCCTTCCCCCACGATGGGATTTGAATCGACGAACAGGGCACAACGATGGCGGCTCGACGGTTGTTCTGCCGCCCCTCCTCCTTGACGCAGCTCCTCCCTGTGCCCCCGTCCCCATCTCTAGCCCTTCCAATGTTGCCATCGCCATCGCCAATTTTCGTCGTCACTGCCCATTTTCGTCACCACTGTTTTTCACCGACACCTCTGCCGCCGTCAGATCCGCTCGCCTGCTATCGACACGTAGGAATCGATGAGGGAATAGCGGTTTCAATGTTCGCCGCCTCTATCGGCGGTGGTAGGTGGGAGGAATGAGGAGGGGAGCATTGTGCAGAGAAAAGAAGGGAGAAGGAGATAGACACTGACAAGTGGGTCCCATTGCTATGATGGAGAGCATGTTGAATTGAAAGATAAATTTGGCTCTCCAAATTTTTGGCAAGTTGGCCAAATGAACATGTAAAGAGTCAAATTTAGATAACATGTTGGAGATACTCTATAGGCATGCAGATCCTTTCTCAAAAGGTTTGGGGTTGACTCTTAATTGCCCAACCAAGAATTTAATTTTTTTTCTATGTAGCTAGTACAGTTTACGATATGACTCGCTTTGGTTTTTAAGACGGTTCACCATAAAACCATCCGGTCTAACCGGTTTTCGCTGGTTCATATGCATAGACGATCTTTTCTACAAATTGAACCATGCTAGGGACTGGTTCTGGTTTTTCCCGGTTCAACCGTCGGGCCGATCTCTTTTTTTACTATGCTCCGGAGTCGCACTAAAGTTGTACCTTGGGTAAAAATTATCCTCCCCTTCATTTCCTCTCTTCTCCCCCCCTCCCCACCATATTTCGTTTCCACCGATTTCTTGCAGCGCGTGGTGCGATTTGGGTATTGGATTGTTGTAGGGATGTTGGATTTGTGGTCGCGCGATTGGGTTCCTTAGGGTTGAGGATGATGGCATTCTATGCAAGAAGCGGTATGCCGACGTTGATTTTCGGAGGTGGGATTTGGTGGATTCTGTTTAAATAGGCTAGCCCAACCATGCCATCTAGACACGATAAAACTATAGTTGGTATAGCAAAGCATGGGCCCGTCGGCTCATGGACAACCCAATTTTGGGCCTGTTCAGATTGTAGCCAAAATAAACCTTACCAAGTTTTGCAATGCCAAAATTTTAGCAAGATGCCAATATTACCAAAACTTTGGCAAGATGCCAATATTGCTAAAATTTTGACATGATTTCTTATGTATTAACCAAATTTGACAACAAACTAAATGTAGACATTTTTTTTGACAACTTTACTAAAAAATGGTATGGTTAAAAATGCATCAAATTGAACATGCCCTTTAGTTGTGCTGAAAAAAAAGTGTAAATTGCTATTTGGGCTAGGTATTCTTACAAGTTTTCAAATTAGACCATTCTTCAACCATTCTTTTTACTTAACACCAGCTAACTTTACATTTTATTTCAACTTAGACCACCCTCATCTAATCCATCCACCTAAGTCCAATGACTGTCATCGCTCCACACACTAGCTATCTCTCATCTTTCTTTCTTCTCTCCAGCAACTGGGGGAACCATTGAATCCAATAAAGAGGATCATGAATCAGCGTCCCCACTCTCCACTAGGTCAGTTCCTGCCTCTCTAAATCCTCACTAGCCCGGTGCTACCGATCTCAACAATGACTATAATAGCCGCGTGCATTACGATGGGAGGCAAGAGAAGACATGTCGGTGGCTAATGTGTGCGATTGGGTGCAGAGGAGGAATGACGATGGCTCATGGAGAAGGAGCGGCGGTGGTGGTGCGTGGATGTGAAGAGTGGTAGCCAGTGGGTGTCGCTGGCATCCGTGGCGGAGGAGTTTGTTGTCTGCACCCATCCCCAACCGAATTCCACCGAAAGGTGGGCCCCTAGTCCAAATTATAAAGAACAGTTGGTTTTAAATGAAAAGTTTGAAATAAGGTTGTTCAAAATAACACCTACTACCTCCGTTATAAAATGTAGTAACCTAGTACCCGATGAGACATATTTTATTACTATGAATCAATTATAGGTTGCTATATTTTTAGATAAAGGGAGTACATAATAATGTGCTGTTTAGTAGGCTTGACCACCGTCACGCTGTACGTAACATTTTTAGCGGGCACTATAAGTTTGTAACAAACACACAGGGACTGTAGCGGCTGGCTACAGTTGCACCGTAGCCAAGCCTACCAAACATAAGCAATAAGCAATAGTTTAGACAAACCTATAATTTATTTACTTCCTACATCCAAAAAACAAACACTTTAGATATTAATTCGGATGAGATAGTATTACATTAGTATCTCTACTATTATAAAATTTGAAGATGTTTTTGTTAATATTTTGGTACATCATTCGTGTTTGAGTCGGATTTTAAATTCGTTTGCTTTTGAAAATATAAAAGGAGTCATATAAGAAATCCCTTTAAAAAATCCGCATGCTTACTTGATATGAAAGTTGGACTACTAATTGATGTTCATGATTTTCTAAAAAAAATCTAAGCAAATTCCCAAAGTGAATTTCATCTTAGCTAAACCGTACAACAATAATAAGATTAAAATAGCATTCACCCGTTGCAATACACAGACTTTTTTTTAAAATATAAAAAGGAAATCTTTCGTCGCTGTCCCTTATGCGTAAATAAAAAAAAGGAAAGAAAAGAAAAACTCCCGTCGCGTGCCAAGAAAAAAAAAAAGAAGAAAAACTCCCGTCTCGTCTCCGCTCCATGCGCCAGCGCTGATCTCCATCTCGCGAGGAGGGCAGAGCAGGGCGCCGATCCTCAATCTCGCGACCGGAGCAGGGGAGGGGTTCCTGCATCCTGGTGAGCATCCAAATCCTCTCTCTCTCTCCCCCACCCGCTTTCGTCTCGAATTTGCTTTGCGTGCGTTAACCCTACAGCTTCCTCTTCTAGATCTGGAAGAAGCTTTTCCTCTTAATTTCAGAGCATTAACCTTAGTACTTACAAGTAAAAGTTTGATTTCCACCCCCAAAAGTATGGGGATTCAACTGGATTGAACCCCCATGTCCGGATCCGCCCCTGGGAGAGGGTAATTTCGTCGGTTTATTATGCTTTTCGGTGCTTCGCGGTGAGGGATTTGGTATTTTGGATTTGGGTGGGCACGCCCATGTGCATTTATCGTGGAGCAAGATTGGTAGGAAGGTTGGCTCGAGGTTTACCATGAAATTTGGGACTATTTTTCTATTTGTAATTTCTTGGTAGCGCGATGTACGATGGCAACAATTTATTTTAATTTTTGCCTCCTTCCTCTGGTTTGATAAAATTGAGGGTGGTGGCGGAAGGAAACCTCCATTTCATCAATCCTGAGGCAAGAAGGGTACCCTTTTTCTTGGAAACCTCATATTAATTTGTCATGGATATGCTTTTCATGTAACCTTATACTGAGTTATCTTCGGTTTCGGTCCATATAAATTTAGGATTGAGATGATTTCTGAGATGTAATTATTGTAAATTGCATTTATAATCCTGCATTTGCATAATGTTCTGAGCTGCAGAACACTGGTTTCCATTCCCGAGCAATTATACCACAATAGAGACAATAACAAAGGCACGAAATGTAGGGTGGACTCTCGTTCTTGTTATTCTTTTGTTATCAAATCTTTAGGGAATTATAAGGATTATAGTTTAGTGTTCTTTTTGTAAGCACACTTGTGACTCATCGCATTAAAATGCTGGGACATGTGTTACCATTTGCATAAGCTGAGCAATACCATTATGTGTGGTCTTGGACTTATCTTATCTGTACTGATTTAGCATTGCATTGCTTTTGATGTTATGGAAACATCGTTTATATATCTTTTTACTATTCAACTGAGAGTTATGACATATGAACTATGAATAATTCCTGTTTCTGCTGCAACATTTGCTGATTGAGGAACTTGCATGCAGAAAGGTGGAGCTCAAATCATTAGTGCCCCATTTATCTCGTACCAAGGACTTTGGTGCCTCATTTTGTGAAAATAAGAAATTTCTGTGAGCTGCTTCGCAACTGTCCTACTGTAGGTTTCATGTTCTTGTATTCGTTCTGTGTAGGTTTTTCTAATTAATCATGTCATTTGTTGAACCCTTTTGTTTTCTTTTCACTTTTTCAGCAGGGGGCTACACCTGATCTAGCAACTAAGATTATGAACTTTGAGCGGATCTCATAGGATTTGTAAAGAATTCTTTTGTTGGAGTAGTTTTTTTTATTTGAAACAATGAAGGATCATCTAATGGTAAATGTTGATGATCTAATGGCGCCTGAATGCTTTGAGACCACTGGGGCAGCCAAGAATTCATCAGGGGAAGCCGCTGCGCAGGCACCCACTACAGTGCATACCTTTTTGGCAGTTGGAGAAAGCATGGCCCCTGAAGAAGAACCTCTTCTGCAGTTGGTGGAATGTCGCATTTGTCAGGAGGAAGACAGTATAAAAAATCTGGAGAGCCCATGTGCCTGTACTGGCAGTCTAAAGGTTCAAACATTATCCCATGAACTCCAGTTTTAGTTGCAAGTGTTTATTCAAGTATCTCTGTTTAAAGGGCAACATATGAAATTAGGCAAGATTAACTCGTCTCGTTAGGTTCTGTTTGTTGTATTTTCGTGTTCACAGCAAAGTGTGGTTGGCTGGATATTATTGTTGTCGTTCTTGCCTTTTTGTTTCCCAGATTGGCAGATTGGGTGTTAGTATGCCCTTGATTTGACTCGGTCTAGGTCTCTAGGAGATGTTGGCCCTAATACTAGGATAAAAGAATAGGTGCATGAACTATAGTATTCTTCATATATTGCACAAGCCAAGACACCATTTACACAGGTCGGTTTCTACAGTAATCGGGCTGCTACTTACAGCTCATGTTACACCTCATCTAATAGCTCAAAACTGGCTTGCTACCAAGACAGACATGCTGCTTGTCTGCTTACCAAGCTCAAGCAGCAATGAAACTACTAATACAGGGTGCTAGCTAGTAAAATTTGCTCTGTATCCTTCCATGCCAACACAACAAAGCATACAATCACTTGTGTATTGTTGAACCTATTATCACTCATTTGTGCTAGAAACTTCAAGCAGCAACAAGCAACCAACTTGACCAACTAGTAGTCAAATGCAATTTGACTTCTTCCTCTTGAAGAAAATAATTAAATATCCAACAGGAGATACATATAAACCACCCATTTCGGAATGCTTCAATTATTTGGTTTTTCAGTTAATATGTATTGTTTCACCAATCATCATATAAATACCCATTAAGATTTTTTTTCCTAATTTCTGCACCGGAACTGTACATTATACTGTTTATCTTTCATAGTATAAATATCTTTTGGCACCAAATTTCTTGACAGGCTTTGTAAATTCAGTGCCATGCTTAGGATCTTATTTTCTTTTCTATCCACAGACCGCGTGCATGGAAAATTGAAGATAGATTCATGGATAATATGCAATTGTGAATGTTTAACCTAGATGGGTTGTTTTTGAAAACTGAATCTTTTTTAGGGGATGAAAACTGAATGTTGATATATGCTGACAAGATGGAGACTCAAATTTGCAGCAATCTATGAACTGTTTCACATTTTTAGCATGTATCAAATATTTGACATGCTTTTCATGAAATGTGCAGTGTCTCAAGCCAGATTCTTCTGGTTATGTAGGCAACAAGTCATAGTCTACTAGGAAAAAAGTCTCACCTTAATAACATGATTTAGTTGCGGCATCTCAGCATGTCTTCTAAAATCTCATTTATGATGAGAAACAGCTCACAAGTTTCCTGATGCTACTAATGGTTCTTTTTTAACCATATCCCAGTATGTTGGCAAATATTTGCATTGTGTATTATATAATGTGTAAAAGGTGGAAGCAATACCTATTCTGTTCCACCTGTATCCACACCTGTTTTTATCCTGGCTATATCCACAACTGCAACTGAAGTTCTTGCTGTGGCGCTCCTGATTTTTTTTATGTAACTATAAGTTTCCGAATTTATGATCCCTAGATACCGCATGTGGATATTGCTCATACATTTTTAGTTTTGTGATACAGTATGCTCATCGGGCTTGTGTGCAACGATGGTGCAATGAGAAAGGAGATGTAACGTGTGAAATTTGTCATGAGGTGAATTTATGTTCAAATGATTCATCTTTCCTTCCTCCACAGGAGCAATCCTGAATTTGACCTGTTGGAATGACATTACTGCAGCCATATGAACACGGTTACACTGCACCTACTAGGCCTCATCCTGATGAAACTACCATTGACATCAGGTAGGGCATCATGCTTTTCTATATTGAAGACATGGGTTCTTGTTGATATTATATCGTGGTGTCATTTGTAGTATTCCAGGCTAATTGCAACCTATTTCTTTTGGAATGCACAGTGGTGGCTGGACCATTACTGGTACTGCATTTGACTTGCGTGATCCTAGGATCCTTGCAGTTGCACAGAACCACATTATGGAAGCTGAATACGATGATTACTCTGCCACAAATGCCAGCACTGCTGCTTTTTGTCGCTCTGCTGCTCTAGTTGTGAGTTCCTAATTTCTGCGCCACAAATGTATTTATATATTTTTTGAGACAACAGATGTATTTATATTGATTGCACATGTAATGGAAGGTCTTGTTTATTTACCTTTGCTTATGTTCAGTTAATGGCTCTGTTATTATTGAGACATGCGCTGACTCTAACTGATGAAGATGACGATGATACTTCTGCAATGTTTTCAGTGAGTGAAAGAATGCTCTTTAACTATCTGGTTATCATTGTTTTGTTGTACATCATCATTAGAAGTTGGTATTGATGCTCTATTACTTGACAGCTTTTTCTATTGCGTGCTGCTGGATTTCTGCTACCATTCTATATAATGGCTTGGGCAGTGAGTATCTTGCAGCGCCGCAGACAGCGACAGGTCAGTATGTTATCATACAGGTGATTTACATTATTTTCTACTATTTTAAATTTGTTAGAACTTGGAATGTGTGATAATTTTATTTGTTATTGCCTTGTTCTTCAGATATTTGCATTCGAGTTGATCTACTTGGCTGTTTGAATTTTTAGTTTTTATCTGCTCTCTTCCTCTCCATATGTGAGATCATAGAACTAGTTAGGCTACTGATCCTGGGGGATATTCGAATATCTTAGGACGGAAAATTTTGAACTGCTTTCATTAACATAGTTTTTGCATAATGCAATGGATATTTGAGCATCATTAGTTTCAATAATATTTGTTAGCTTCTGGATTGTAGTTAATTCACGGGGTATCTTGTTTTCAAGTGTTTGTTTCAATGTATGTTTGTTCAGGAGGCGGCTGCCTTAGCAGCAACTGAGGTGGCATTCATTCTTCAGTCTGGGCAAGGAACCGGAGTGCATTTCACCATTGCACCGGATTCGCCGACCACACCGCAGCACGAGCCACAGCCTTGAAGGAGTGGCTTGGTCGGCTGCAGCCGGGCAGTGCTCGAATCGCCCAAGGCTAGAATTCATCGACGGCTGCTGCTACTGTCAAGTGCAGAAACCACAGATACATTTGTTCGCGTGTGTGTGCCAGTGTACTAGTAGTAGAGAGTGTAAAGGCGCATTTGGTTTGGTGTCTCTCTCCCAGTTTGCGCTCCGGATTTCGCTTGTGCGTTTTGCTTGTCGGCCCGGGAGTAACGTGGTGTGTATATAAAGCAACAACGCTACTTTGATTAAGTGTTCTGTAATTGTTCCAAGATGGAACGGGCACTCTACAAGTGCAGTTTCTTCTCTGCCCATCTCGTTGTCTACTTGCTCATGTCATCTGATGCTAGTGCAAAACTTTGTTGAGAAAAATGGTATTATCTCTGTCTCAAAATAAGTTAATATGATACAGGATGCGATATATCTTAGTATTATGAATCTGCGATATATCTTAGTAATATGAATCTGAATGTACCTGATGTATTAGGATGTCTTATCTTGTACCATATTAACTTATTGCAGATTTGTAGTGTTAGTATATGTCATGTCCTATACTAGATTAATTTAATTTATTCCCAAACGAAGATATCCTTTCAGGACGGAAGGAGTAGGACTTGTAACAAAATGGGCAGCAGTTATACTGAAGGTGCTATATAATATCCGGTGTGTGTTGCTGGCACATGGCCAAATTTGGTTTGCCAAATTTCTGGCCAATCCTCGTTTTGGCTCATCAAAGAGCATGGCCTAATGTTTTGGGCCTGATCGCAACAATTGTATGCGATTTGCTTCATGAAAGAAAATGTCCATTTTCGCTCCTTTCTACCATTGCTCGAATCTGATCTTCAATCTCGGATTTGTCTCTCAACCCGATCTTGTGAGAGTTGATATACCAGTTTTGTGGTTGAAGGATAATAATTGGATTCAGCTGATGATTGAGGGAGTACAAAGGGACCTTTTCCTTTCATGGATGGGCTATGCCTGATCAACCACTGTCTTGAAGACCCATTTCAAAGATCGAATGGGCTGAAAACAACAGTTTGATAGCTACTTTCCAGATGAGAAAGGCCAAATTGCTAGCTCGACTTTGTTTCCATCTCTCTGTTCTTCCTATGTAGTACTATGATTTTTCTGACGGGTTAACAGCAACTACCCAGCAATTATTCCCAAAAGAAAAGATAGAAGGAACTGTAAGGGCAACAAGAGATAACCAAATGTGCCATTCTCACATTTTCAATAGGTTCCAAGGTATCCTTACAAAAAAGGAGATGGGTATATATGGATGTGTTCATGTGTATGATAGCATTTCTACAGCCTGGTCTGTATTTTGCCTCCTCTGGGTAAAAGCTGAGAACTCAACAACCAGTATGAACCAAAATCGGGGATGACATACCTACAATGGAAGGCACCCATCGACCATCACCATCCACAAGCAAATTAGGCTCAATCAAAATCTTGGGAGCAGTCGAAGTCGTCCCCTTCACGGGGTTGGCCGAAAGAACTGTACGCCAGATGATCACCCTTCTTCATCTTGCCACCCAGGAAGCTCTGGGGGTCCTTGTCATCGTGCTGCAGCCTCCCAGTTACCTCCAGGCACAGGCCATTCTTGGTGAGTCTCTTGCTCTGTCGAGCTCTGTCAGTTTTTGGCTTCACTGGCCCTGTTTCGATGAACACGGGCTGCTCTCTGATTGTGGGGTTGGCTTGTATGCGGTGGATCTGATCCTTCTCTTCAGGTGGTCCCAAGATCCGGTGCTCGGATTCCAACACGGTGGCTCCATCCTTGTTCAAAATTACCTGTCGGAAACAGTTGCAAAATTACGTCCTCTTCCAAATGTTTTGCCTAGAGCTTTAAGCAAATTAGATGCTGTGCGACAGGAACGACATTGTATTACCTTGCGGCCCACCAAATCAAATGTGACGACCACTTTCCCTTTATCCTTTTCAGCTGCTTCCTGAGCTTCCCCGTGCTGCTTCTTTAGGTCTGACTTTTCCTGAAGCAAGAAAGATTGAGAACTTACTTAACATTGTTCCAAATGGTTTGGTTGGACAAATTTGCTAGTATCTCAAATAGTTGCACAGTAAATTGCTGTCTGATCCCGTCAAGTTATATGTTCTTATCATATAAATATGATGATATATCAAATGCCAATTGTGCAAGCAATTTCAAGCGTAAGATGTAATTAAGAGTGCCGCTGTTTTCTCCAAGGTTTGTAGTATATGTTCATTAGTGTCCTCCAAAAAGGCAACCAGCAATTCTGATTGAAAAAACAATTTGCAGGCAGGATTGGGTGAAGTGTGCACATATAAATAAACAACAGGAACATTCTATAAGGCTGTTTAGCACAATGAATCAGTAAAAAGGTGTTTAAATGAGTCATTAGGATAGGAATGCAAATATAAAATTTACCTTTGAAGAAAGCCAACTATTTCCTTCCATTTCAAAGTAGTCACTTTGATCATCATAAACTTTAGTCCTTGCTGCAGAGTTTCTGTCATAGTCAACAAGCCTCTTTGCATATGCTTCAGCTTCAGCTTCTGCTTCCGAAAGAGGAATTTCAACATCACTTAAACCAGCATATGTGCTTCCTTCCATTAGAACAAGTGCACCACAGAAACTGCATGGTCCCTCACCCTCTTGTTCACACACAATTTTGCCACATGATAAGCAGTTGCTGACAAGGTTGTGCTGGCGTGCTTGGCATGAACAAGGTTTCCCCTGCTTGAAGACAATAGAACCCTTCGCTGCCTCAGCAAGGGAGATGGCCTTTACTGCTTTCTTTTTTGAACCTCTCTTGGAGGCAACTCGGGGTTCAGTAGTCTCTGGTTGATTCTTGGAACTCTGGCCAGAAGAAGATGCTGCTGCATCTTTTTGTGTGCGTGTCTGCTTCTTGGTTTGGGTAGGCCCAGCTTCAGCAGAAGGCTTCACATAAGGCTGAAGATTTGATGATTGTAGGTTTTCATTGCCCTTCAATGGATCAATGTAACCCCTCCTCTGCAAGTACTCCTGAATAAGGTCCTGAGCAGCTTCTACTCCAATAATATTCTGCACCATTACACTGACCATGATCAATGATGAAGAATAAAGACAAAGGACAAAGGACTAAGCAACAGTAATTTCAGATGCATTCATGCATAATATTTACCTAATGGCAAGCACTGTCACTCGAAGATGAGCAATATGAAACAAATAAAGAAAATAGAACTAAAAATCCTCGCGAACACCAAATGTCCAGTTGAGAACAGAAAGCTAGGAGGAATAGATAGGAACATCTTATTTTTGGACTGAACACACAAGATAGTCCTTTCAACTTTATTGCAGATGTGTATCAGGGATATGTAAATTCCTGGTCATAGTCCTTTCAACTTCATTGCAGATGCACATCAGGGGTATGTAAATTCGTGATCAAGCCTAGAGTTTCAAATTTCAATTCAAAGTGACATGTTTGCTAGGAAAAAAAAAGGTATCATTGCACACAAGTTCTGCAATTATGTCTTTGATGAAAAGTTGCAGCCGCATAAATAGACATGGATACAAACTAACAACTGAACAGAAACACAGCTAACTCAACAATTCAAGCACCATGCTGCTCCGAGATTGCAGATACACCTCTTAGGTAAAAGACTGTTCTAATGCACTCATCGTGCTTAAACTTAAAGTGACGCATCAGGTTATAGAGTTTCATTCATCACGGTATAATTCATAATAGTATCATCATATTCTAATAGTATCATAATTGCAAATCCCCCTTCTCTATTCTCTAACAAATCCATGAGCCATACATTGTTTTTCTAACCCCGCTTAAGTATTCATGTTATCCTCCCTTTGCAATAATAACTCGCAGAAATCCCAAAACCAAAGAGGGAAGCAGCACAACGCATCAAACTTCGCACCAAAAATCGCGACACACCGACGATCAGACTTTCAAAATTAACCCTAGAAATCGCTAAATCAAATCTCACAAACCCTAACCCGACAAAGGCGCACGCACAGATCAGGCCACCCGCGACACACCAAACAAACTAACAATCGCACAACCATCTCCGATCAGAACCTAAATAGAGTAACCCCTGCATAGCTGCGCATCATCGTAGGGGGGATGATGGATAGTATGGGTACGGACCGCGAGGTAGTCAGCGGCGTCGGGCGGAGGCGCGAGCTCGCAGAAGGAGACGAGGCCCGAGATGAGGTCCGCGTCGAGCTCCAGCGCGCCACCCATCCGCTCCCGCAGCTCCTGCAGCGCGCCCTTCAGCCACTCGCCGGACGTGCTCGCCGTCGCCGCCATCGCCGCCGCCGCAAGAGCCCTCTCTACTATGGAGAAGAAGCGGTGTGGTTCACTTTTGCAAATTCCACCCTGAACCTATACACAATTCCGGAGAAGGCTTATCACTTCGATTTTTATTTTAGTCCTTGTACTTTTACAGTTTTACAAATTGGTCCCTCACCTTATCCCGAAGGACACGTGCGACTTCTTCGGTGAGCCAGCGAGCACTCGAGCTGAGAGCAAAGAAGCGCATCCTTCTCATGGCGGCCTCCTCGTCGTCGGCGGCGGCGGCGGCGTTGTCGCCGGCGATCTCTCTTCACCTGCTCCGGCCGCTCCCGTGCAGAGCCGTACTCCTGTCCAGGCAACGGAGGCCATTTCCATCGCCAAGAGCTGGCTGCCTGGCGGCGGTAAGAGCTCAGCGGCGGTGGCTCCGGTCGCCGGAGATCGGCCGGTGGAGGAGGCGCGGGGGCTACGCCTGCCTCTCCTTCAACTCCGGCAATAAGCCGCCTCCGCCTTCCAGTGAGGTGACTCTACGCCGCCGCCGCCGCTTCAGATTTTGAGGAATTTAAATACTAGTAGCTTCTTGGAAGAACACACCTCTAAGATCTTTCTTTCTTTCTTTCTTTCTTCTTTTTTTTCTTTTTTTTTTACGGATGCATCGGTAGAATGGCAAATGTGCATTTGATAGGAGTATCTTATTATGATGGAAAACATGTCTAGTTTAGTTGGATGTAAGTATTCCTCTCTTTTGCGATGGTTTCTCTTGCTGAAGATTTTGTGACATAATTTGGATGTGAGCAGAATTCAGACGAATGGCCAATCCTTCGCCGATGGGATGTGCCGTGGGAGTGGCAGACGGTGGTGCTCACCATGGTGGGCTGTGGAGTAAGGTACTCCTAAACTTTTGTACCCTATGCTGGTTAGTGTTTTAGTGATGTCTATCTGCTATTGCAATGCTGCACATAGTATTGGATTTGGAGCTAATTATGAAAAGAAAATTCCATATGTTCATAACTTAGAATTGGCAGATACATAATGCTCAAATTTATTGCTCTTTACAGTATTTTAGTGTATTCAATCATCGACAGCTCTATTGAAGAAAGCTTTTTCTGAATGTTCTTTAGACAGCTTTGTTCTGACAGGATTGGTTGAGCAATCGGTTTTGACGTATGTGGGGTTTAGAGCTGTCGAGGCAACGGTAGATCAGAAGGCAGAAATACTTTTCCTTGGACAACTGTACGAATCCAAGCACTTGCTGTTTTTTTTTTTTTTTGCATTCTTCAAACAATGGATACTTTGACAGTTGCCAAAGTATTTATCATTTTCTTTTCACTGTCTTAAGCAGTAGCGTGACAGCAGTTGTGCTGGGTGTTGTATATGGCATCACCAATACCTTCCGACCACTGCCAGATGATATATTTCGTTATGGTCAGGACATGATATTCTTTCCATGTTACTTACAATAGATTTGATCTTGTGCGAAGAGTACATCGTGCATTCTTTTTCAGAAAATATTTTCTCTACTGTGGAAAATTTTCTACAATTCTTTAGTGCAATTGGATTCACCCTATAACTAAGTGCGTGGCATAGCCTCATTTTCATTCGGCACTGCCTTTCATGCTTAAGTCATGATGGATAATTTTGTTTTACAACTTCTGCTTTTTCTGAATAAGAAATAAGCATATCTAACTAGCAACTTTTGCTGAATTTGCAGATATTAAAGAACCATTCAAGCTTCAAAATGGCTGGCTTCTGTGGGCTGGAGTTGGTCTCTTTGGCGCTATAATTTCTATTGCTTTAGTTGGGGTTGCTATGACTTATCTGAATGGTGAACCTCCAGAAAGAGAGGTCAGGCCTTTTACATACTGTACTATATAGATTTTTCTCAGGCCATACAATTTTATTCCCATTTAATTAATTATTACCTCTCAATCTTTAGTTTTTAACTCACATTGTTTTAATCCCATTCATCATTAACCTCTAATTCAATTTGTTCAGCAAGAAAAAAAACACATCTTGGACCGCTTAATATTCATTAAACAATAACCTATAACAATATGCCAAATGGAGCAATTCATGCAATTTGTATTAGACCATTGTCTTTGATTACCCAACCCTTTTGGCTTGCCTTGCATGACCCTAGGTCTTATCTAATCACAATCTTCTCATGTATGGACTGGATTAAGCTGATTGTGATTAAACAATGACAACTCAAGGCTATCATATGGTCACTTGTGCAAGATTCAGATGGTAGGGAAGCCAGAAAGATAGGTTTTCCATGAGTAGCATAGGAATTAGCAAATATGCCTATTCTCTTTGGTTTGAGATGAGACAGCATAATTAGGAACAGTTTGCGGCATAATTAAGATGGAATGCACCCTTTGATAAAGTGAAGCTTCATACACAAGGTTTATTCAATGCTTTGACTGACAAGCTTATGTGGTAAGGCCTCACTTTACATTGATAGGGGCTTACGCTTTTCCAAATTGAATCTCAACATGTTTTGTGTACTTACCTCCTGTTATACTGATTACCTTTTTTCAGTGTGCTGTTTCTTGAGTCCTGATTGCTGATCTATTTCTCTGGACTTTTTTTTTCAGACTGACTCGTTAGTTCTTTTATTGCCATTAATCGGCTCATCAAGTGCCAGGTATCATCCATCCAGTTTTCAGTGGGTTTATGCCTTTATACCTGGCAGTCATAACCTGACTTTGTCTTCAACTTTTTAATATATTATTAGCACTGCTTTTCTGGTGGGCATTACTGGAGTTCTAGCACCAATTCTGGAGGAGACTGTGTTTCGAGGATTTTTAATGGTGTCCTTGACTAAGTGGTAAACAAACATATACTATTTAGCTCTTTTTAGTAGCTTCCTTTCACATGCTTGCATATAGCAAATTGGTATGTACAGTTTGCAGTTTTGCTTGTTTTTAACAGTTTGCTTTGTATACAGGTTTCCTACTCCAGTTTGCATACTTGTCAGTGCTGCTCTATTTGCCTTTGCTCATCTGACACCTGGACAATTCCCACAGTTGTTTATACTTGGTAATTTTATATGTCAATTTAGAAATAAGATATAAAAACCCTGTGAATTCCGTGTTTTGGCGAAGTGCATGAATGCATTTGGTTATCAACAAAGTTGATCACACTAAAGTGTAGCTGCCTCGTGGTGTCTTGCATTTGTGACCTCTTGTTAGAAAGATGATAGATGCAAACCCTCAGTGTGATACTATGATCAATTTATGACCAGTGATTTTCTTTTGGAAACTATCGAAGTATTTATTACATTGTGAGATTATTATTCCATTTCCATAACATTTCTGATTGGTATGCAGGTGTTGCGTTGGGTTTTTCATATGCTCAAACCCATAATCTTCTAACTCCTATCACAATACATGCATTTTGGAACTCGGGAGTAATATTACTGTTAACCTTTCTTCAGGTATGTCTTATACTCCAATTTGTCAGCATATTCATTCTTGATCAAGATAGGGTTGAGTTGTATAACTTGCAGAGAATTGCATATGAATAGGGTAGTTATCTGATGATTGTCTATTTATGTTACTTGGTTATTTCAGAATTTAGATGGCATGTACTGGCATATTAATTTCATGCAGTAGTAACTATGAGATGTAACTGACATGTATAACTTTCAATTGCTTCAGCTGCAAGGGTATGATATCAAGGAGCTTTTGGGAGCATCTTGAAGGCTTTGACTGATCAGCCTACGGCTTTGTGCATATGCTTTAGTAACTTGATCAAAGATACTTGAAAAGAACAATGGGTTCTCCTTTATTTTACTGTTCTCTGTAATTTCATGTTTCCCGTAACTCCCAGAAGTAAATTACGAGCGAAATATATTGTGTTTGTACTCATCTGCAATGATCTAACTTTAATCTACAAAAGGAAGCACAAACAGCTTTCTATCTGACTTTGCCTTTCTTGTATCTGTCCAATTAAGTTGAATTTGGTCCTCAATTCTGTAGAAATATAAAAAAAACATCCACAGCTCTATCTGTAAGTTCTTCAGATAGTAGTTTGGAAACTTCTAGAGCTAGTGAAAATGGAGTTTACAAGACTTGTGTCATTTGTTTCTACCTATGAAATCTAATGGAAACACGCTTCAGATAATATGGTCTGAAACTTCTCTCTTCATTGCCGTATTGCTATATTTCTTTGTCTCTAGAAGGTATTGTAGTTCTCAAATTTCTATTGTACCTCACAGACTAAATGGCGGCTACACAAATGCAAATTGCTATAGATCTATTGTTACTAACAGAACAATAATTGCCATAACAAATGCATTTGTACTTTCCTGAATCGTTGCGAGTAGCTTTCAGGTCGGCTCAATGATTTTTTTTCCCTATCAGTGGCTGTTCATACATCATCTGTGTCAACAGATGATACTGATTCGCTGATTGTCCTTTCCTTTCGATATGATTGATCTGCTGTCTGCCTTACTGACTTCTCTGGTAAATTCAATGAGAAACAATCAAACAAATGATGTTGATGACTCCATTATATTACTGAGATGCTAAACGTTTGCTTTCTGGGTCCATTCACATCGTTGTAACAGTCATTAGATGCAGTCATGCCTGTAAGATTTGGGGGAGTGTAAAGTCTGTTAGTGTGTATGGATAAAGAAGTGATGCCAAAGTATGAAACATATTAGCTAATTGAATGTCTGTATTATACACATGTGAATGTAAATCATGGTCCATAGTTATTATCCACTTCAGTAATGCAAACAAAACATTTATTACACCCTTGACACTTTTCCCTGTCTTATACTACATCCGTTTTTTAATAGATGACGCCGTTGACTTTTTCTCACATGTTTGACCATTCGTCTTATTCAAAAAATTTACGTAATTATAATTTATTTTGTTATAAGTTGTTTTATCACTCATAGTACTTTAAGTGTGATTTATATCTTATGCATTTGCATAAAATTTTTGAATAAGACGAATGGTCAAACATGTAAAAAAAGTCAACGGCGTCATCTATTAAAAAACGGAAGGAGTACTTTTTTACACCGTCAACAATTTTCCCCATCTTTTTTTTTTTGAAAGGAACACAGCAGGGGAGGCCCCCGCTGATTTTCCCCATCTTATATCAGTGCATTGCCACTGGATCTAGAATTTAAGAATCTTGAGGTTGTAAATATTGGTGCCTAGTACAATTGTTGATGAGTGCTTAACTTGCACTATATACTAACATAAATTACTAGTATTTCATTTGGATACTGAGATGACAGTGGAAAAATAATATGCGTGAGTATTATCGAATGTTCGCTCATGGTGTTCTAGACTCCTAGATCATTTATCTAGGTGCAAATTGAAAGGGACTAAAGTCTCTTGTCAAACAAGTCAAGTGCGTTCAGAAAGAGAAGGAATAAAGAACTACTCAATACAAGGAGGTAAATGCATACCTGTGGGTCGCATTGTCATGTTCAAGCAGTTGTAATTTCATTTTAAAGCATATATTAAACTCCCTTTCTCATGTATCGGCATAAAGCATGACGATTTAGGGAAGTTTCATGAAGCTCGGATACAGTTCATCCTCTCTTCCTCTTTTAACTTCTTGTATTAGAGGCCCATCTACTCTTCCGAGGGAACCAAATGCATAAGCCTGAAGAAGTCTCTTGTCTTTTACAAAGGGAGAGCAGCAAAAGGGTTCAAGACTGATTGGATGATGCATGAGTTCAGACTTCCTTCACTCACGGAGCCTTCACTTTCTAAAATACCAATAGATAAAAAACCAGCCAAAGTGAGTATTTTACTGGAATTACTATATAGTTATAGCAAAAAAATAAAATAAAATAACTATATAATATCATTCTAATATTTTTCTGCACCAAACAGGATATCTGGGCTATTTGTAAGATATTTAAAAAGCCTAACTCTATGGCACAAAGAGCGTTATCTCACCCCTGGGGTCCTCAATCAACTGCAACAACAAGCTCGCAATTTGCTTCAGAGAGTTCCTCTTGCTCAGAAGAAGTTGCAATACCGATAACTCAGTTGAACAGTCAGCAGTGCCTGCAGGGGAGGCAGCAGAAGCCCAACAATAGACAAGATGGCTCTTCTAGTAAAGTCATAAACTTCAAGTGCAGTCCATCTTTAACTCATCAATCAGACAAAGACAACCATAATTGTCCAGTCACCTTACCATTCAAAACACAAACCCTGCAGCATATGTCAGGTGCCACATCGCTGCTTCTCAGCATAACCCCTGGAATAATCAATAGCATATATGAAGCCTCGCCAAACATACGGTTTGGACAGACTGAACCATGCAATGGATATGAAGTTGATTGGGTTATAGGCACAAATGGAGGCATTGAAAATAGTGATGAGGATCCATATACAAGAACTGGTACTGAATACAGTACAGGCAGTGAATGTGGAATCCGGCAGAAAATAAAGTTTCCATTTGATTTATTGGGTGATCCTTCAGATAACTGGACAAGCAATATCAATATGCCATGTGAATTCCCCTTAACTCCCAACTCCTACAGTCATGTGCAATAGCATTTTATAGGAAAATGTTACATAGTCATATAGACACTAAGACCAAGAGAAGCCTTCAGTTGTTAGCAAAAGAACTACCATGCTATATATATCAAGTCAGATTTATACCTGAAAGTTACTCATATTAAAGGAAGATTAACTGAGGAAAGAATAGCTTAGTTATATAAATTGAGTTCCACTGTACTATAAAGATCTTATGCTTACTCTGAGAATTAGGGGTGTGCTCTATATGCCGAGTATGATTATATGAAAATTCTCATAAAGTGAATAGTTGATAAAGTACAGCAAGAGGAATCACAAACCCAGTTCTCCCAACAGTGGGAACTTTTGATAACTGTAACGTCCTTTCCATGAGCAGGACCACATAAAACCAACGGGTGTTCATTTCCAATTTCCCCAATATTATCACTCCAACTCAATCAAAATTTAGCACATGTGCTAATAAAGAATAGCTTAGGGACATTCAAAAAAGAATTTTTGTAGAAGTTTTAATCATGAACATACTCTGCAATGTCTTGGTCATAAAATAGAAATATTTGGCAAAGGTGCTTCTCTCTTTATAGCCGATCTCTGCTCATGAAATATATGTTTATAACTGATCTCCTCAAGCATTTCGGTTTTTACACCATACTCCATCCAGGTTCTTTATTTACACCCTTCATTGTTTTTCTGATTCTAGCTACTTCCTCCCAATCTCCAGAATTCGCAAGAATGTTCGACAGAGTTGCAAAGGAACCTGAATCATAATTTCCTTCACGGATCTTATTTTCTACAAACCGTCCAAGTACAGTGTCATCATGAACTCTGCAAGCAGCAAGTAGGGTGCTCCATACCATCAAGTCTGGTTTCATAGGCATGCTATCAACAAAATATTTTGCCTCTGCAAGCCTCCCAGATCGACCAAGTAAATCAACCATGCAACAGTAGTGCTGTAACTCTGGCTCAACCCCATATGCAGTTCTCATTGAATTAAAATAGTTAAAACCTTGCTCAACTAAACCATTACGGCTGCATGCAGACAAAACACTCACTAATACAACAGTATCTGGTCTTACCCCAAGCTGAACCATCAAATCAAACATTGCCAATGCATTCTGACTACTTCCATGCTGAGCATACCCATCAATTATAGTGGTCCATGCAACTAAGTCTGGGACACTTATTTCATCAAAAACTTTACGAGAATCATCCATATTGCCACTTCTGGAGTACACCTTCACAAGTGAACTGCTTACTGACTGATCAGACAATATGCCTGCTTTAATTGCATATCCATGTAATGGTTTACAATAGAATGGTCTTGCTATATCAGCACATAGGCTAAGAATAGACGAGCATATATAACTATCTATTCGAATGCTTGCTGCCACCATAAGCTGAAATAATGAGATTGCTTCCTCACCGCAACCATTTGTAGCATATCCAGATATCATTGAGGACCACATGACCTGATCTTTGCGTGGAGTTGCATCAAAAATTCTTCTAGCTGTTTGTACCCCTTGACATTTTGAATACATGGAAATAAAACAATCGTTTATGAATGTGGTTTCTCCATAGACACGAAGTGTGTGACCATGAACTTCCTTCCCTTTGAGTAAACACTCTGGTCTATTACAAGCTGAAAGAATGGCAGTTAACGACACATGATCTGGCTTAAATCCATCAAGAATCATATTCCTGAATGTTAGGAATGCCTCAACTGAATGACCATGTGTAGCAAAACCAGCAACCATTGCTGTCCATGAGACTCCATCTCGTTCCTGCATCTCTTCAAAAACCTTGTAGCTATCCTGAACATTATCACATCTAGAGTACATGGTGGAGAGTGCACTGCCAACAAGAATACCATGAATGAACCCCTCTTTTATGGCTGATGAATGAAGTTGTCCACCAAATTCAATTGAATTTACAGAGCTGAAAACAGAAGCATAGCATTTGTCATTCGGTCTTAGACCTTGATGAAACATCCTCCTTAACAACTGAACTGATCTCAGAAGGCTATGGTTACTGACCCCAGATATGAAGGCTGACCAAATACTTCTATTGCTTACTGTGCCAGCTTCTTCAAACACTTTCTCCGACAACTCAATAAACCCAAAGTTAGTGTACGTCGAAATCAATGCCTCCTTGACAACGCAATCCAAGTACATCTCTGTCTTCAAAACCATACCATGTATCTGGCTAGCCTCTCTTACCATAGACATCTGAGCGCAAGCAAGCAAGATACTTGTGGCTGTGTATTTGTTGATCGCCACGCCATTCCGCACCATTTCCCTAAGTAGCAGCATTGCACTGACTGGCTCATCATCCTGAACGAAACCGGCTATCGCGGTGGTCCACGAAACCACATTCCGGACTGGCATTCTCCAGAACTCCCTCATGGCAGCACCCATATCACCACATTTCGCATACATGTTAACAAGCGACGTTCCAACGAACACATCGTACTCAGGATCACGCCGAAGCACCAGACCATGCACCGCCCGCCCAACGCTCAGCTCTTCACCCGCCGCGCACGCGCTGAGAGCCCCGGAGTAAGTGAACGAGTTGGGCTCGCACGAGCCCCACACCATATCACGGAACATCTCGACGGCGAGCCCGCCCTCGCCGTTCCGCACCGCCCCGGAGACGGCCGCGTTCCAGCACACGGCGCTGCTCGGGTCCCCGTCCGCGAACACCCTGAGCGCGTCCCGGAGGCGGCCGCTCTTGGCGAGCAGGTCGACCATGCCGGTGCAGACGTACGCGTTCCCGGAGAGCCCGTCCTTCCATGCGGCGCAGTAGACCTGCTCGGCAAGCGCGGGGGCGGGGGCGCGGGCGCACGCGGCGAGCGCGTTGCCGTAGGCGAACTGGCTCGGCGCGGCGCGCCCCGCGGCGCGCGCGCGGGCGAATGACGCGAGCTCGGCGGGGAGGCGCGCGAGGAGGTCGGGTGCCCGCGGCCGCATTCCGCCGAACAGGTGGGGCGCGCCCTCCCCAGCGCGCGGGGCGAACGCGGAGAGCGCGCGAAGGTGGGCGGCGGCGAGAGGGGTGGAGGACCGGAGGAGGCGAGGCGGCATGTAGATGGCGCGAGGGGGGGAGGAGAAGGGATCGGAGAGGGAGGAGGGTAACCTACTGGAGAGCGCGGCGATCCGCCATGGCTGGCGAATGAATCAACTCCCGGTTCGGAAACGAAGGTAGCACTACTCCGTAAATCATGGGGGAGGTCCGTCGGATTAAGGATTCAAGTTTAACGAATTACATAAGATTTAAATGACGCCATAAATGCAAAGTCAAGATGGCCGAGTTGGTCTAAGGCGCCAGTTTCAGGTACTGGTCCGAAAGGGCATGGGTTCGAATCCCATTCTTGACATAAATATTTTTTTTGAATATAGTGAATGAAATATTTTTTTTACAGGGTTGAATTATTATAGTTTGTTAATATAGTGAATGAAATATTTTTTTACAGGGTTGAATTATTATAGTGAATGAAATATTTTTTTTTGGAAATACAAGGTTAAATTTTGATTAATTTAGTGTAGATGTTCACTTTCAAGGCTGGTTTAGTTCCCAACTTTTTCTTCAAACTTCAACTTTTCCATCACATCAAAACTTTCCTACACATAAACTTTCAACTTTTTCTTCAAACTTTCAATTTTAGTCAAACTTAATTTTGACGTGTGTTTAGTTCACGCAAAAATTAGAAGTTTGATTGAAATTGGAACGATGTGACGAAAAAGTTAAAAGTTTGTGTGTGTAGAAAAATTTTAATGCGATGAAAAAATTAGAAGTTTAAAGAAAAAGTTTGTAACTAAACTCGGCCCAAGTCGTAAAATAATCAAATAATCGACGCTTCTGTGACAACAACAATACATCAGTTTAATCAACTATAAAATACACCATATAGTACTGTATACGTCTTAAGTCTGACCAAGGACAGAAGGCTGATAAACGTAATATGAGGGCTTACGACTGCAGATTTGCCTATCCAAATGCATGGATCATATCGTACCATACGTTCATTGTCCTCAGGGGAAACAGAAGCACAAACAATCAGACAGACAGAGTAGAAACAAAACACCAGCTCAAGTAAGTAAAATTCATTCGCAATTCAGAGAAGTGAACAAAAGAGCGGATCAAATATGTCTCAGCAACATTTGACATCAAGTGCATCACAATGGTAGACGGATTTCAAGTACTCCAAACTCAGACAGTTATACTAAAACATTCAGCTAGAAGAGGCTAGACCATTGATCATCACCATCAACAAAAATGTTTTCCTTGTTTATAGCACATCGCCTTGCTTCCACTTCCAAGAGTTGTCTACTTTGAGGCTGACTTGTCCTTGGTTTTCTGTATTTTCAAGACTTTCTTCACAATCTTCTGCTCTTCAACCAAGAAAGCACGAATGATCCTGCGAGGCAATATGAATCATGTGAGGTGACAGAAGATACATGTTATAATCAAATGTGGATATGTTGGAGCATGTTATGCTGACCTTTCCCTAACTGCAGTTCCAGAGAGCACTCCACCATAGGGACGGTTCACAGTTCTGCGGTTCCTAGACAACCTGGATCTCTTGTACTCAGCAGGCCTGAGATGGGGAATCTGAAAATGGAAGCGACAGTATTGAGTCAAAATAATGCACCTCATACAGTAAAATAATACGATAAAAATGGCACAACACAAGTGTTATCTAATGCTAATCGTGACAAACATTCAACAATCAAAAGTCCAACAGTTTCATACATAGTACACAAAGTTCAGTGATTAGATTTGTGTAGGAACTATATATGTTTTCCAGCACAGTACATGTTACAAACCATGACGAAGAGTATGAATGAGAAAGCTGTTCATAGACCCAGCAATGAGGCCTATGAGTGATTGCCACAGCCTAAAGCTGAACATACGCATTTAGATAGGATGATTTCATTGCACATTTTATTGGAATTAGTTCACAAGGGATAAAATTGATATACCACCCTTAGTTCAATGTTCAAACTCTGATTAGTAGAATAATATCTTAATGTTCTATCATAAAAACTGTTATCCCCACAGAAATTACAGAAATATAATTGATATAGTTACAAACTATACTTGTGGCAGAAAGCAAATCAGCAAAAAATAATTAGACTGCATTAGGGGTGTGTGTGTGTGTGTGTTCAATATTTAAGAGCACAGAAACAAAGCAAAAGAAACATGAGTAAACAACAATGGTGATAATGCAATTCAATCAGTTTACAAAACACAGGTCAGCTGTTCTACATTTATATGCCAAGCTGAAAATCATGCAGTGCGTAGATTTCTCCAGAAAATTTCAGAAATGGTTGACCAATCGCCAGGTAATCAAATCCACCAGAAGGAATCATTTCTAGGTGCCAAAAAGACTAAATGCACAATACACAAGAACGTCCGATCATTATCAGGTCCTAGGCTAAATAAATAGTTAAGCATCATAAATCAGCACTCCAACACGGTGATACGCTAAGATCGAGCAACAAATGCTACTAATTCATCTACATTTAACAGAAATACTCATCGGCCTATCCCAAATTTCTACCAAGCCACTGCACCAAACCACTCAAGAAATCATCCTACCAAAACAAATAAACAAACAAAAAAAGATGCATTGTAGACAAGATAAAGCAGGCACTCACTCCCTGGATCTTCTTCCCGGTCACGGGGCACTTGGGCCCGCTCGCCCTCTTCTTGGTGTACTGGTACACGAGCTTGCCACCTGCAACCACAACGCCACAAAAGCTCGCTCAACCAGGCGAAAAATCTTCCACCTCAACAGATCAAGAACCCAACCCCAAAAGAAAAAGTGCCCCAAGAAGAGAGAAGATCCAGACCTGGAGTCTTGACGACCCGCGTCTGATTAGACTTCGTGGCATAGCTGTGCCTTTTGCGGTACGTCAGGCGCTGCACCATCTCGCCGTCGCCGCCGCCGCCGCCGCCGCGTAGTCGCCGATGGATAAACCCTAGAGGAGGAGGAGGAGGAGGAGGAGGAAATGGTAGAGAGCGCGTGGCGGCGCGGATGGGGGTATAAATGGCTGCCTCCGGGGGAGGCTTGACCTAGCACGGACGGCTAAGATTCGCTTGATGCGGTAATGGGCCGGATCGGGATGGCCCAGGATCTACGTGGGCCGTCTGGCTGCTGTCGTGTCACTTCAAATCCCACTGCAAATGTCAAGTGTCGCAAATTTCATCTAGGCTGCTGAACAAGAAGTCAAATTAATTTATTTTTTTTGAAAAAAGATGGCAAATGTCACGTCCAGTTGAACACTTGCACTGAAACCTGATCTGAATAATTTTGTCCAATGCAAAGTTGGACGGGAAATTTGGCTTCTTCTTTATGTGAATATCGTGATCGCTTTTAGTTAAGTGATATTTCCGTGTAAAATCGGGCATGGTATAGACGTATAGTATAGTAGTAACCTGGATAGAAATTTCGTTGTCAACATCGTTAAGTTGGACTGATCGGTGACAAGTTGTTTGCCATCCAACCAGTTTTTGGATTTCTCGAATCGATTTTCTCCGGAAACAAGATTGACACGGTTTGTTATCATCATCTTACTCAACTCACCGCTCACAAAAAGTTGATAAAATGATACTACATCCATCCTAAAATGTAGTAATCTTGTACTAGATCATCCCAGTCCTACGAATCCGGATACGAGACATGTACACATATTGGCAATAGTAGGATGTGTCATATTTCATACTAGATTGCTATATTTTGAGACATATGGTGTAAGCGATAATACATCCAAGCTTTCGCTGTTGAGCTCTAAACTCGCATACCCCGCACAGCCTGTTTGCATCTTGTTCCATCTGCATCCACCTTTGTCTGCTGCGATGCTGAGCCTCACTCTCGCATTTCCTGCTGATAATGGCGGCGGCCAGCAAACACCCAGGTCCCCAGCAGCAGTTTCCTTCTTATCGCTTTGCGAGTTATGATTTGTCTCTCTCTCTCTCTCTCAGCTGTGGTATAGTACGCAGCAGCAGAATGCAGCGTTTGCAGTCAGTACTTTGGTTGTTAGGACCGGTTATGGCCGCCATTAGTTTGCCTCATGTGGCAATCAGAAAAAAGAGGAGCACAGGGCACACTGTTCATCTTCACCAAGAGGACACAAGTGATCAATAACTGTGGATCTCAGTGCAGTGGATGGACCATCTGGTACATACACACACAAACAATCCAGCAAGAACTGAGGATGATGCATTCAGCTCATCTTTGCTCGGGCAAAGCCCTTATTGCTTCTTTATTCGCATACCGTAGTACTACAACTTCAGCAGTTGCATCCATGTGGTGACAGACAGAGGCAAAGTTACATGAACACAGTTCATCTTCAGATGTAGTAGAAATCTGTGCATTCTGAGGTAGATGTTTCCTCTTGAGAGGAAATGCTGATTTATTACACTCTGATTTTCTAGCTAGGGTACTGTAAGTACTGTACCGTGTGGACTCTGTGGTTTATGAGCTGTTTTACCATGTTACAATTTGTAATTTACTGGACATGTGTAAAGAGACCTGGATTACTAAAAGGTTAAGAAAAATCTACAAGCCGTGGATTACATGGTGGAGATGATTTATGGAGGGGGGAAAAATGAACAAAAGAAGCATGTGTATTTATATATGTATTCTCAACAGGGGAACAACAAAAATGAAGCCTCCCTGTGGATCCTCCTATCTACAAGTGCGATCTTGTCCAGCTTCGCCTTGCACCACTGCAGCTGCTCGCTGGTGATCCTCGGCATCCGCAGGACCCGTGCCACGAGCCGCATGTCGACCTGCGAGAAGAAGAGGCTCTGGTTCAAGGTGTCCTCCTTGGGCTTCTTGAACTTCTTCACTATGCAGTTGCCGGTCCTCAGGAGATCCTTCAGCCTCTTCTCTTTCTGCATCCATTTCAGAGTTAATCACTTATCAGTGTCATGTACTGCAGCAAGTATTTTCACTACTAGTACTTACTGTAGCAAATCCACAATTTTGTCGGTACTGGCGAAAATTTGGTGATTTACCTTCTGTAACGTGGAGTCGATGTGCATCATAAGATCATGGTCTAAAGGGTCCTGGAGCTCAACATGAGTGCTCGACAAGCCCTTGAGCACCGACGTCGTCTCGACTCTGTCGGACCTGATGAACTCCCAAAAGACGCGCATGCATTCCTCCATGATCTCCTCCAGCTCCTCGCTCGTTATGACATAGTTCCCCTTACGCTGATCCTCCATCCTGTCCTTCAAGCTGTCCTCTGCAATCCAACATTCACATTCAAATAAATCATCTAGCACATGATATAAAGAAATACAATGGATGAACTATCTGATTATTTGGTTCTGAAATCTGATTATAACCTTTTATTACTGGTACTTGCAAGAGATTTCGAAGAACACATCGGTTATTGATGTAGTTTGGCAACCTAGGGCCCTTGAAGGACTCATCCTCCACAAACCTCTGCACAACTACCTGAAATTGTTGGAATTCCCCTGCCACCTGGTTGTACTGATGGCTGTGGTAAGGATCGGATTCCGGCAGGTCATGGGCCTGCTCATACTGCCACCGAAGGAACTCCCATGATAGGCACATTTGGCCGACGTAAACTGTCTCCAAGTCATACCGGAGCTCCTTGAGAAACCTTTCTGACGGGTCCTCGGGTGATTTTCGACGTGACGACCGGAAATTGTGAGACAGGATGGATGTCACCGTTGGTGATAAGGATTTTAGAGAATTTGCCGATTGTTGAGGCCCTCTGAACTGAAGAAAATCTGCGGCAAATCCAATTGCGGTACCATATTAGCACAACAGAATTTCAAGCAACCAAAAAAATATATCTTTTAGGACATTGAGTTGAACAAAAAATTTGCTAGGGAAAGCATCATAAAGCTGCATCTTGTCCTTAACTAGCTTTAAAAAGCTAGTGGATGCTATGCTTGATAGTTACAAAAGTAGCAACTGTACTCTAGTGCTAAATATTAGTACTAGAATCTGAGATAAATAAGGGTAAACTGGTAATGGTAAAAATGTGCATACCTATTGCATACATCTTCTGATAGCACAATATGTCAAACTTCCTCATTCTCTCCCTATAACTCTTGAAGAACTTATTCAGCTCGTCCATTGGGTCCTCGCGAAGGAACTTGGCGTCGATCCTCCATGGCTTGAGATCCTCCATCGGTGCCTTCGGCGTCTCCGACTCCTCCAAGATCGTCGGTAGCCCGATCGACCGCACCTTCTTCAGCTCCAGCTTCAGCTGCTCGATCAGATCCTGGTGCTCCCACAGTGACTCCAGCTCGTCCTCCTCCTCTTCCGTCAAATCCTTCCACTTGTCCTCTTGATCCTCCTCCACCACGTCCAACACCTTCCCCTTCTCGGCGACGGAGAAGGTGACATGCCGAGTGGCGTTCCCTGGACGCTCATTTGGGATATCATCTTCTTCTGCACGCTCTGAAATGATCCTTGCATCGGCAACTAGTTCATATGGATCATCATTTCCACTGAATTCCTGCTCTGCAGTCTCTGGGGTGCTCTTATGATCAGAAACTTCTCCATTTGAGGAATCATTCGTAGCACTGACAATTGCTTTGTGATCATCAGAAATAATCGCAACCGATTGATCAGGACTTCTTTCTTCATCGTGAGCTGATGCTAATGACTGATCATTTGCACCGACAATATCTTTCCAAACATCAGAAATGAGTTCGTGTGAGCGATCGTCTGTACCAGCAAATTCTCTCTCCGAATGCGGTGTGCTTCTCTTCTCATCAGAAACTGCCGCTTGTGATTGATCATTTGAGACCTCATGTTCTTCGTAATTGTCAAAGATGGGTTCAGATGAATGAACGTCCGGGCTTCTTACCTTGGCATCAAGAACAGCAGCATGGCGAGACGAGGCATCATCCAATTCTGCGTCAGAGATTGCTTCTGGGCTCCTCCTCTTGACATCGGAGACAGATTCGTACGAATGATCATGTATCGTGATGGTTTCCTTCTCCGAATGATCCAAGCTGTTCTCATCTTCAGATTCGGCGTCGTGCACCGGTGATGATGATGATGATGATGCTGCCATCGCCGTCGTCTTCTTGCCGCCGGAGGCGGGCGGCCGCTCGTCGTCGCTCATGTCGAAGCTCACCTCCTCCGCCATGTTCGTCGCCTCGTTTCCCTTGTGCTCGTCTTCGTTGTACTCGACGTCCGGCGAGGGGCTCCGGGACCACATGTCCTCGGGGTACTTGGCGGGGTCGTCGGCGGCGCCGATGATGTCCGGCGAGGCCTGGCCGACGACCGAGCCCGGCGACACCGTCGTCGCCGAGTCCTGGAACGAACGTTCCAGGTTGGAGGCCGACGCGTCGAGGGCTTCCAGGGCCTTGAGCACCTTGGCCTTGTAATAGCCCCTGAGGCTGCCGGCGTCGTGCCCGGCCACCGCCGCCGCCGGGAAGTCCTTCTCCGAGAGGAACCAGTCGCTGTCGGAGTCGACGACGAGGTCCTTCACCGAGTACCCGTCGCTGGCGGTTGACTCCGAGTCGGAGTCGCCGCCGAAGCCGGAGAACTCCGACGCGAAGCTCGTCCTCCCGCTCACGGCGGCGGCGGCGCTGCCCCTCGACGCGGCGGACGGGGAGCTCGCCGCCGGCTTCCGCCCCAGCTGCGACGCCACGCTCTGGCGCGCGCTATCCGGCTCGTTCGCCGGGCGGAAGTCGTTGGTCGTGAGGAAGCCGCGCCGTGGCGCCCCGTCGACCACTCGCCGCTCCTCCGGCTGCGCCGCTGCCGCCACCGCCACCGCCTCCAGCTCCGGCGATGGCACGAAGGATTCCTGGACGCGCACCGTGATGGCCTCCGGCTCCTTGACGAACCCTCGGAAGTCACGCTCCGTCAAGAACCGGTAGTTGTGCGTGGTCGACACGATCATCGGCGCCGCCGCCGCCGCCTCCACGACCTCTCTACTCTGCTCCTCTTCTTCCTCCTCCTCCATGACCACCTCTCTCTCCTCTGCATCGCGCTCGCGTTCTTGCTTCGATTCCATCGCAATCGCCGGCTTCTTCTCCGGCTCGTGTTCTTCCAATACTTGCACAGGTATTTCACCCGAGACCACGGCCGTCTCCCGGAGAATCTCGGGCAACTGGTGCTGGAACCTGAAGCTGAACGTCGACGGCGGCGGCGCGGCCGGCGGCGTCAGCGGCAGCGGCTCCGGCGCCATCCTGGCGACGACGTGGTCGTACGTAGCCATCCCCTCCATGAAATCCTCCTCGCTCGCATGCATGAAGCTGAAGCTCCGCATCATCTCCAGAATCTTGTCGTCGTTCCTTCCCACCTCCTCCTCCTCCCTCTCCTCCCCGGCTCCGGCGAAATCGCCGCCGCGCCGCGCCTTCTTCTCCTTGTCCTCTTCGTCTCTGACAAAATTTAAAACAAAAACATCAAGAAATTCAGAATTCCCGCAAAATTATCATCGATGATTCTGGTGAAATCGCTTATCATCGATTCATACCTGGAGGGAGAGATGTAGGTGGAGGCGAGGTGGATGGCGGCGACGAGAGCGACGGTGAACAGCCAGAAGAAGAGCGGAGAGAAGCACCACCGCACGACGGCGTGAACAAACCCATTCGACACGGCGGCGGCGGCGGCGGGCGCGCCGCCACCCTCACCGGCATCCATGGATGGATGGATAAACAGCCGAGCCGACCACCACCACACCCCCTTTACCTCACCTTGCACGCCACCACATCACCACCATACCACCATGGACGGCAGAGCAGCAGAGAAGAAGAAGATCAAAGAAGTAGAACAAGAAGAAGAAAAGAGAGAGAGAGAGAAAAGAATCCGTCCGAGTGATCCTCTTTTTCGTGATTTTCCTCCCTACGCCATAGCCACCGAGTGGATGGATGGATGGATGGAGAAGAAAACAACGTGCCACCACCCGTCGATCGATCGGTCGATCCACCGATCCGAGGTGTGGATGAAGGTAGGACGGGAGAAAAACGGAAGAGACGACGACGACGAGAGCGACTGCTACTAGAGTCTCTGTACTCCCCTCTGGGCAGGGCTTCAAAGAAAGACCGCGTCCGTCGTGTATCGTAGCGCGCAGCCGCAGCCTCAGGTCTGGTTGGTCGCACCTAAACCTCTCCTCTGACGAACGCGGCAAAACTAAACAAAAACAAAAACAAAACACACGCCCTTCGCCGTTGCAGCAAAGACGTGCGCCACGGGGCGAAAAACGCAGTGAAAACACCGCGAAAAAACCAACAAAAAGAAAGGAACCCAACCAACCGACGAACGCCACGCACGAGCGGCTCTCGCGGTGCGCGCGGGGGATCGGATCGGGTGGTGGCGAGTCCGCTTTCGCGTGAGACCGCCGGTCGCGTCGCTGAGGTTGGGGGTCTCACGCGGAGGGGGAGGCTGGCTGGCTGATGACTCGGCAAAAAAAGAAAAAAAAAGGAAAAAGGAGAAAAGTCTGCATTCCAAATTATAGGGCGTCCCATTTCTAAATTATAGGGCGTCCCATTTCTAAAAAATATCAAACTTAATAACTTTTGGCTAATAACCATATAAACTATGTCTATACTAAGTTTACTTATGCATGTTATATCACTATATCATATTTTGAAGTACTTTCATGTTATACTAATTTTATATCTGTTATATGGTATTGAAGACCGTGTTAAAAAATATAAGACTTATAATTTAAGACAGAGCTTAGTTCTTACTAATACTGACATTGGCATGCTATGAGTGTCTTTAGAGTTTTTATAACTTTTATCTATCTAAATTAAACGGTTGAGATGATTGTTAGTATAAATTTAGTAAAAAAAATTTAGTAGGTGTGGTAGTGCTTAAAAAAACAGGTTTAACAACCACCGGTGACTGGGGCGGCGCCGGCGCCGTGATCGGAGCCACACCACATCAGGTTATTCCTTTCTTGCGTGAAGCCGCTTTGGTAGCTTGGCACGGGGGAGAAAGAGAAACCGACTCGGCTGGCTCGATTGATTGATGGTGCTCGTGTACCAAATGTGCACGGGGGAAAGCTAAATCACAAAGATTGTGGTACTTGTTCGGCAGCCATTGGGAAGATTTCTTCTCTAATTTTTAGTGGAGTCCAACTCGGCTGCCAAAGTGCCAGGTGCATGCCTCAACGATTAATTTAGGGCTAGCAGCTTCATATCGAAGATTTGTATGAGCTAGGCGTTTTTAACTCTAGAAATCCACGAATTTGGATATGCGATTACAGTGATAATATTTGAATGTATTGCTTTGTTTTTGTTTCATAGAACAATATAAAATTTTAAACCACTATAATTTAACTTACAAATTCTAATTTCAGCATGATCTGAGAACGAGAATTGTACCAAATAAAACCTTAACGCTATATGGTATAGAATAATCTGGATTTTTTCCCTTCTATATACCGCAGCTTGCACTCATCTTTCCAATGTTGGTGGAGTGAACTGCTCAGATGAGAGTAGGATACGATGCAAGGATACACCTTTCGGTTTTTGCAGCGTGTAATCAATCGTTGGTTGGTAGCCTTCCATAATGAAGGTTTTTAAGAGTATATATATGATCTGCCTTTTAGGCATGTGCAACGGTATTTATTAGTGGTCTTTCTATTGCCATGCAAGTAAATTTGATAATATGGAAGAAAGAGAAAGGAGGAAAGAGAAATATGGTTGTTATACATAACAACGGCTTAGAGTCGACTCTTAGCATTTATTAGAGCATATTTTGTTGCATGGTGGTGAAAGAAAGGAAACAATAGTAAGAAAAAAAATATTTTGATACATTAATGATTAAAGACCATATTGTCTCCAACTATTATAGAATGCTAGTCTCTATATAGCATAGAGCTCATACCTGACTCTAACTTTGTACATGCCCTTATTCCTTGTCGCTAAGAGAGAGATTATATGCTATACTGTGCTTTGTGCCTCGTAGTAATTAACCACGGCATCAAATGCGTGTGCATCTGAGATTCGCTCCTTTTTATGATGCATCCGTGCGGATATGGAAAAGGCTTAATGCGGAGACACTTGTGCAAGGGGTGGTGGCCTTGGCAATTTGGCATAAAGCCGGAGTTCGATCCGAGTCAATGCGCAGCCACAAGGCGCAAAGCTGATGATGATGATACTGTAATCGCGCTGCTCCACTCGATTAGTCGCCGGCAACCAGGAATACGTGCCACAAATTGCGTGATTCAGATCTCCATTAATTTTGCCCGTTTAGTTGGGAAATGGCCGTTAGGGAAAATGATACACATAAAAAATCCTTATAAAGTTTTTACAATTTTTTTTATCTTAGTTTTTACAAAAATTGATATAGCATGTCGTGTCGTGAGTGCATCGTTTTTTTTTAAAAAAAAAACAAGCATATGCTCACATGCGCACGCACAATTATTCCTATAAATATACACATGCAGATACCATTTATGAGACTGAGTGAGATTATCTTTTGGGCAGATTTTAGATGATGCTCATGCACAACCTTCTAACCACACGAGTCCAGTTCGTCACACCTGAACCGTTCAAGATCGATCACCAGTCAGCCACGCACGAAAGAGACGTGGCAACCCAAAACCGCGCTTTACACCAGAAGGGGAGCAAAAAGCAAAATCATTCACATGATTCCAACAAAATCTAGCAGAAAAACAGAAACAGGACATCTACCGGGTGGTGCAGATCACGAGCGGCTCATATCCAAACCAAAAGTGCACTAATTAAAATTGCTTAGAGCATATACAATAGCAGACTATTAGCTAGCTGCAAACATATTTTAATGAGATAAAAAGATAAGAGAGAAGAGCAGCGGGCTACAGACCCGTAGCCAGCCGCATTACGGACTCTAATACACAATGTGTGTATGACAGATGAGACAATATATTAATATTATAGTAAGCAACTATTGTATGAATTGGCTATTAGATTGGCTAAGGATGAATTGGAGCTAGTAGGTCTAGTGGCGGCCGCTCACGCTTAGCGGTGGTCGGTCGGTGCTAGCCTTCTTCTGGGCTTGTGTGTTGGTGATGTCGGTGTGTGGGTGGTGGTATTTTTTTTCTTTTTCCTGGTTACGACCCTTCGGGGTTATAATCTTGTAATTTTTTCCTGCTCTATCAATAGAACTTCGCACCGTCTTGTGCGTACGAGTAGTGAAAAAAAAATTGGAGTATACTGTTAAACTTGCTCTTAAACAGTGGGCCCGGAGCTCCAGAGATTAAGGCCCGGAGCACCACGGTGGCCCGCCCTGTCGCGTCGCCGGCGAGGCAGCTTGCGTATGAGTCCAAATGAATCGGGGGCACAGTGGCCACCGTGCGCAGCGCCGCGCTCTGCATTTTCCCAGGATTTGTATACTCTTACCATTCTGTCAAGCCCCTTGTTTGTGAAAAAAAAACAATTACATAGAAAATTTAGAGAATTTTAGTCCTAAAGAAAAATTTTCTGCAAAGACATTTGAAACAAGAATTGAATTCTATGAAACTATTTGAAATTCCTATGCAATGAACAACACTATAAAAATTTTGAAGAAAAGTTAGTGATAGCTCCAACCAGTTAAAAAAATTCCTTTAAATCTCTCTCATTTGATTCCTTTTTTTCGATCTAATCAGACGATCATTCATGTGTTTTTTATGTATTAAGTAATCCTATATTTTGCCATTTGCATCCTATCCAAATCCTGTGTTTTTCCTATTCTTACCTTCTTTTTAATCATGTGTTTTAAAGAAGCTATAAACTTCTTCAAACAAATTGCAAAGTAAGCATAATTCAACTGATTGGGTAAACCTGTCCACCCAAGTTCAATGTCATACACACACGAATGGTCGCAATTATGACTAATTATTTTTTTTCAGTAGTAGGTGATATACCCATCAACAACAAGATGCTTACAGTGACTTCGTCAAACAAGATATATAGACCCAGTCTTTTAAAGATGCTCATAAGGATATGGTGTGCATATATGTGTTCTGTGAGTGTCCACGCTTTCGTGGATGTTCACGTTTGTACCGTGTTGTAAAAAAAAATTATTCGGACAATTTAGCTAAGTGGCTATGTTTTTTTTTTCTTTTTTTACCAATATGGTAGAATAGCTGAATGATTTTATGATTACTATTCGAGAGAAAAACAAATAAATTGATTATTATAAAGTTTAAAAATTGGAATTTAAATAGTTTCTTAAGAAATTATTATATGGAATTTCTTTTTGATTTTTTTTTTAACAATTTTGGTGCTTAAGAAGCGTGCCATTAATCCATTCTTCCATTTCTTCAAATAGAACAAGGGAACACATAAAAAATGAAAAGGAATCGATTAGTGTTCAAGTTTATTTGGTCCCCTTCTTCGGCAGCAGTACGGAAAACCAAGTAATAAATAATAAATGGATTAATTCAGCTCGCCTAATCTTAGAGGAGAAGCACTCCATATGAGTACGGATAAATGCAGAATATCTGCACAATGCATATAGAAATGCGAATGCAGTACACGTTTTCGCATGGGCTCCACGAAACAGCTCATGGTGATGGCATTTTGATTATTACACACAAATCTGTTTTGTCAAGGAGAAACTTGTATGAACCGAGTTCGTACCATATCACAGTTGAGCCTTCAAGGAACTATTAGCCATGACAGTTCGATATCGAATATATCTGCACCAAATAAATCCACAGCAAATTTGTCCTTGTTGGGAAAAATGATGTCCTTGACACCAACACCGGCGAAAGGAAAATCTCACCTTTCATGTCGAGGTTGCTTGGGTTAAACCCAAACCATGACGAGACGAGAGGCATTCAGATGGCGACCAGAGGAGGAAAAAAAACCAGTGGAGATGGCCTCCAAGTCGCCCTCAAAATCTCAACTTTTTTTTTTTGTCCATGAAACCAAAGCGGGGTTCTTGGTGGTTTGGAACGTACTGGCAAAGGAAGTCGTTTATGACAGCGACACGGTCTTCAAAACATAACTTTAATTTCTTGTTTCTATAAAACTATTTATTTAAAAATG